TTTAACTTTTCTTTTGAGTACTGTAATGTTATGAATTTAAAAAAAAGAACGGACTTAGCCACAGTGTAGATATCATTACATTGAAGGGCTAATTTTTACAAGATAAAGCCTACCTTTTTACCGAATTTCGGTTTCGAGTTATTCGGGAAGTACCTTATAATTTTGATGAGTCAGTAACAAAAATGCAAATTTTAAAATTCTCCCTTTTCGAAAAGCGCTCAAATTTTTACAATGTCCTAAGCGACCTAAGCTTAATTTATGTTTCAAATTTCAAAAGCCCATTTTAAGGGAAGCAGAGAAATGATGGTGAGAAAAACCGGGTGAACTGGTTCGAGTTACCCTTACACAGCTTGCTGGAACTTGGCCACCTCAGATTATATAAAAGATTAAAAGAAAAATGTAAAAAAATTAACCGATTTATCCTATATTGTCATCGATAGTTTCCAAATTAGTCTTAAGTCCGCTTTATGAATGTGGCCAAATTTTTCATCGAAATTTGACATTTTTCCGCTCTTGTTTGGTGAAGAACTTTTGTTATTTATCTCCCTGTTTACGAGCTTACAGATTGGGCCGAAGACAGCTGGTGTAGAGTGTTGAGCAATAGGAACAGATGAGATCTTGTAATTACATAATTTCACAGTTAAAGAAAGATTGAGAAACCTTTCTTTAAAAAAAAAATATATATATATATATATACATCCTATTATATTTTGTACAGATTTTGACTTTTTTTTTAAATGATCAACATTTACACGAAACATTGGCAGGGGGTTTTGTTTAGGGTTTGTAGTTCATGTGTAGAAGTTAAATTTGAATTAAGTAATATTATTAATTAATGGATGGCTTCTCTGGATGCGGATTCACGATTTTACCATGGTGAATGTTGGATGGGGTAGCAGTGATACCACATTCTTAGGAACTTTTCCCGTATGGTTCAATCAGTGTGTACTCGTTCCGATGTTTGTCAATTTGTAAATTTCCAGATTTTGTATCCATATTGACAAATATGTTAGGCTTATCAGAAGATCATACCAGAGGAAGCACAGATATGAAGGTGAGAAAACCGGGTGAATTGGTTAGATTAAAAATTTACATGGCAGCTTGCTGGAACGCTCAGATATTTGTGTAAATAACGTTTTTCTAACCCGTCCTTTTCTATATATAATTAAAATTACTACACATGGTAGTTAAGTTGCAGTATAAAGCGCCTTCAAATTAACCCCCTGCCACCGTTTTCTAACAAATGTTCGGTCTAATTCCTTTGATTTGGATTACAAAACGGACGTCTTCTATTATAAGAAAAAAGCCTCTCTGACACAAGGGATTTGAACGGTTGGCAAAGGGGGATACCTGTTTCTCTCTTACCTGCCGGGCGCTGACCGTCAATCTTTCTCTCTCCTCTTTATTTTTTTTAACCCGCTGTTATTTTTTTTGTTCTTGTTATCATTTATTCCGTATAGAAAAAATCATGTTACGAAGAGACTTTGAGAGATTACATTATATGCTGGATGTTGGGTTTAATAAAAGAGTCGGCGGGGTTCCGAGGAACGGAATGTTAATCTACCCAGTATCACTCCTAATAAAAGAATGAAACGGGTTTTGCGAATTGGGTTACTTCTGATGCTTTGGATGCCATTATTATTATTATTATTTTTTTTTTTTTGGAAGTTCTTTAACACCCAATACGTGCTACCTACAGCACTTTTTTTTCTAAATTGTCCAAAAGAATCAGAAAATCTTAGAACAGAAAGATCGATAAATCTTATTAGAAGCGCCAGATGAAATGACAATCCTTATAAAAATAAGAACTGAGCGTCTAAGCATTAAAAACAGGCCTATTCTATGTAGCAACAATTTAATAAAATTGGTTGTAAAATTGAAACAGGAAAAATTTCTGGTTGTTAAATTTAAGCCAGTAAAATCTTTTAAGAGTATTGATCCCCAATTTAAAAATTTAATCAATCTGATGAAACTCCATTTATCAAGCATCTTTTAATATTGTTTTTATAGACTATGGGCCGAGGTGGTTCAAAATCTTTCTTGAACCCTGCAAACCTATTCTGGAATCCATCTACCGTTTGTATATCAATTTGGTGAAATGCCATCTATTGATGTAGGGATAAGAGAGGCGGCAATAAGGCCAAAATAGGTCTGTTATGCTTCTCTGTTAATTATAACTCACTGGCTAGCTTTAGGCTATACCAGTCTTCACAGCTTTGCCAGCGGTTCCTTGGTTAGTATCTTTCTTGTGGTTTTTCTTGTTCTAGTTGCAAGAACCTGCACCTACATAGACCTCCAGAGGAATATAAAATGTGTTCTGCGGTCTCCTCTTCCTGGCAGTATCTGCACGGTGTTTCTTCTGTCTGTACTCCTATGCGGTGCAGGTAGCAGTTGTCAGGAGTCCAACCAGAATCCTGGTTCAGTTGCGGTGCCTTCCACTTGTTCTTTTGTAACTTTTGTGGATGGTCCTTCTACGAATCTCTTCGCGTACCTCATGCCTGTGGTATTGTTCCAGGTTTTGGACTCATTAAATATTTTAAGATATATCCTCTTTTGTGGCAGGCTGCTAGGCCGCAGTAGGATTCTGGGCTTGTAGAGTCTATTTTGGCTCCCTTTTTGGCCAGCATGTCAAACTTTTCGTTGCCTCTCTGCCCAGAATGTCCAGGGACCCAAGCCAAGGTCAGGTCAGTAGTGTCGCTGACTTCCATCAGGGCCTCCATGCATTTCCAAACACTTTGCCTTCGCCTCACATGAGGCTAAGGCCCTGAGAGCCGCCTGGCTGTCAGAGATCTATTGATGTATGATGCCACTCTTGGCATCGTTGTGCTATAAGTAAAGAAACATTTACTGACAGACTTCGAATTCCTTGTTGTTTTCGAGTTCGAGTTGACCCTTGGATTTCAACCTGCATTTTTTCTTTATCTTGAAGATGCTAGGTTCTCCAGACTCGACACTCAAAAATTACCTCATATGAAATAATTCGATCAGAGGTTCATGGTTCTCTGCCTGGAAATCATTATTTGTGAAATATGATATTGGCTTCTTCCTATCATTGGAAAATATCACTAACTGTAGGACTTCTTTAGCATTTTTTGGCTCTCTTGACTCGGATTAATTCCCAACACTGCTGATTGTGCCATGAGCTTGACGTACCTTTCATTAAATAAAGAGTTAAGGGTTGTTTGAGGCGAAGCCCAATTTTAAAGGTTACTCTTTGGTTGAGCTGCGTTGGCTTTTTAAAATGCGCTGCGAGGTTCTTCAGCTGAACTCGGTTGTGTAGAATAGGGGTGAGCAGGGCTTGGTTCGCTTTGCAATTCGCATGCCCTTGAATCTGTTTTTCATTTCTTGGCAATGTTCAATTCTGGGTGAGATCCGCTTGCTTCATCTAGGTTGCGTCACGCTGGCAAAGGTTAAACTTCTGGGTTTTTTGGAGGGTTCAAGATCTAGGCCTATGATTTATATTGTATTTTGGTTTATATTGTAAATAAAACAGTTTTTCATTCATTCTATAAGTAATGAACAGGATAAACAATAACTCTCAACGTGCGCAGTATGCCAATTTCTCTGTATTTACATCTGCATCTAACCTCTATATCTAATTCTTTATTTTATTTAAACATTTATTTTGTAAGTAATGCTTTATTTGTGAAAGCTGTTGGAAAATGTTCATTATTGGTGATCACTCATCGTCATTGAATCACAGTATCTGCAGAACTTTTTGAGTATTAATAACCCGTGTTTACGCCCAGTTATCCTTTTAAGGGGGCCAATTATGTTGTGGGTACTGCATTAAAAAACAAAAAAATTGTCATAGAAAATTCAAAGAGCTAAATGAAGTATTAGGTGTGAAATTAAGCCCAGTAATAAAGTCAGAGAGTCTAATTAATAATTAAGTCTTGATATGCAGAGAATTTTTTTTTATAATCATGCACAGTTTTTCTAATTTTACTAGGACAGGCAGATAAATATAAATGTTAGTTTCTAAGTTTTTTTTAAATTTTATTTTATTTTATTTTTGTTTAAATTGGCATCAAAAAATTATACAGCCATGCTACAAAGAATATATACAATTTAAACTGTTCGCACTATATTCTTACTGACACATTATTCAAAAATTTTATTATCACATTATAGACACTGGGATTCTTTAATAGATCTCTGCTTTCCATAGTCAGGTGCTCTACTCCTTCCCTCTCCAGATCCTGGTAGAATCCACTTCTGGCTGACGAATACCGGCTGCAGCGAAATACCACATGCGTAAGGTCTTCCTCCACTCCGCATGCATCACAATTTGGGTGTTGTTTTATGCCGATCTTGTAAAGATACGCTGCACAGATCCCATGGTTTGTTCTCAACCGATGTATGGTGGTTATGTCTTTTTTTGCCATAGTTTGTTAAACCACGGTATTGTTTTCACAAGTGGAAATGTTTTATAAGCCATTCCCTTATCCGAGGTAGAGTATTCAGTTTGCCATTCTATTTGGATTCTTGTTTCCAATATTTGAAAAAGGTCTGTATAAGGAATCCTTGTGTTTCTAGGGGTGGGTAACTGTGTGGCATTTTTTGCAAGTTTGTCGGCTTTTTCGTTGCCGTAGATGCCTGTATGTCCTTTTATCCACACAAAGGAGACATTTTTTTTTTAATGGAAAAGTTGTTGACAGTCTTTTTTATGTCAGCTACAATATAATTCTTAATGTTAGCAAATGTGTTTTGCAGGCTCTGGATTGCACTGAGGCTGTCTGTGCAAATTATAATATGGTTTGTTGTAGGAAGGTTTTCTAGTTTCTAAGTTATTTTATGAAATAAGAATGTTTAATCAAGAAATACAAATTCTTTGATACAACAATAAAGGATTGTCAATATAGTCTGTTCTTGCTATATTTTTCAGTTAGACATACAAAAAATTGTATCTAATATCTTACAACTAATAAAAACTTCGAGTTATTAAAAACCCTTCTTTATTATTTAAAAGAAAAAAATAGTTTGTGTTTTTTGTCTAGGACTCGTTATGGACGTGAGTTGGGATGATGCCGCATGGTGGGCGGAAGCTCATGAGGAGGACACAACAAGGACGTTCGAGTTAGAGTCAGAGGACGGTACTTGGGTGAACGGGTTTCTACCTCCGCCTCCTAGGCCGCATTTCTTAGACCGTGACATACCCACAGATGGGCTTACCACATGTGATCTCTGCACATGGGCCTCCTCAGCCCTGAGGCCTACAAATAATACTCTAGGTACTAATTGTCTCAACAACCTCTATTTCATGTTTTTTTTTTCTTATCTGAGTTTATTTTTGTAGGTGACACAATTGAAACACTACCTTGGTCAGTTACATTGATCGTGGTTTCTATGCTATCGGCCCTAGTGGGAGCAACACTTATGGTTACCCTTCGACACTGTTTTAAGTAAGTGATTAAGTCTATCAATAAGTCAAAACTTTTACCCAATAAGCACTAATTCTATTTTAATTTGTTCTAGAAGAATAAACACGACGGCAGAGCCTCGGTATGTGGATGGCGATGTGACGAATGCGGACAGGAGAGAAGTTAAGGATGTAGACAGGGATCAGGACAGCAGAAGTGGAGGTGTGTGGTGCTGGGTGCGAAGAAGGCCCACGCTCGACAGCCCGTCCGACATACCTGCAACGAACCATTACACAGTCGACGAGGCGTACTCAGGAGTCGAGGCGCTCTACGCAGAACTGGACAAGCCCGTTTATCAAAATACCGGCTACGTCCTCGATCCTGACACCTCCTCGCCTCCTAGTTCCGCCTATTACTCCGACCTCTCTGAGAGGACGTACGAGACTGTAGGCCAATCTTGGGAGATGTCTCAGCATCCTATGAGTCGTCATAGGCTCGCCGCCATAGCAGAGACAGCCCCTATTCACTCGGACTATGTCTGAGGGTTTTTTTTTACTGTGATCCTTGATCTGTGCAATTAATGTTGTCCTGTCGTTTTTAGAAGTCCTTGGCATCTTCAATGTTCATTATACAAGTGTTCAGAACAAATTTATTGTAAATTGTATATATAGGGATAAAAGAGGTGACCACAAAGCATCTCACACCTCGAACTAAATGATCTATTATATTGAACCCAAATTGTATATATACATTTTCTCAGTTTAATTTCTCTATGTAAGATTGAAGTTTAAAAAACTTCTATCCCTATTTAATATTAAAATTTATATTGTTTTTGTAAAATTATTTAAATATTTTAAAATTGTATATAACAGTTCTTGATTTTTTCTTTTTTGAGTTCCTTTTCATTCCTGCCAATTACAATTAATTAAGGTTTTTAGTTGAGATAAAAAAAGTCAGTGTCACGAGCGGGTTTCGAAACCATGATCTTCGGCTAGATACGCCGCTGCTCTACCACTTGAGCTATTGTGACCTCGATCCACTCGGACACCAGCTTCCCATCTCAACCCCACCTTTTGAATTTTCCCTCCTTTTTGCCATTTTTCAAGCGGACCACGAAATTAGTGAATTTAATGATTTAAAAAGAAGTATACTTCACTAAAGCTCTCCGTGGCCATTTCATTTGTCATCGACAATCCAATATGATTACATTTGAAAAATGGCAAAAAGGAGGGAAAATTCAAAAGGTGGGGTTGAGATGGGAAGCTGGTGTTCGAGTGGATCGAGGTCACGATAGCTCAAGTGGTAGAGCAGCGGGTATCTAGCCGAAGATCGTGGGTTCGAATCCCGCTCGTACCATTGACTTTTTTATCTCAACTAAAAACCTTAATTAATTGTAATATATTAATTGGTTAAGTGGACCATGAAATTAGTGAATTTCCTGTCAATCTTAATACAAACACCTGTTAAATTTAGGTAGCTATAAAAATGTCAAAAACCAAATTTGAGCAATTTATGGGTATTTTTCTCATGGAAGCTTTTATAGTAGCTCTTGTGGTTTTATGTCATACGGTAGATCTGAAGTACAGCCACATTCCAATCAAGCTACAGATTTACAAGCTTTACGAGAAAAAAGTGGCCTGACGTGCAATCACATGCTACAAAATTCAACCTTATGAAAATATTCTCAGGTAGATGCAAAATCACATCCTTATTGCCATGGTTTATTAGAAGAGGGTTTGGACGCAGTGAATCCAATCTCTTCTCCAACAGTGGAGTAATCATAAAACCTCCATAACTTCACACCACAGCAGTCGACAGAAGACTGAGTACAGCAACCGTTCCACCTGCAAAGGATTATGCATATTCCAGATCTATGTACATATTAATTTGTAGCGTGTGAAACGGTTTCTATTTATAATAAAATGCTTTTCAATCTTGGATTCTTTTTTATTTGTATTTTGTAAATAATTGAAAAAAAGTTTAATAATATTGCTTATATATGTTTTTTTTTATAAAATAATAACACATTCTTCACAAATAAATTAATGAGGGATTTAAACAAATAAATAAAATAATGATATTTGGTTTCAATTATGAAGAAAAATTAGCATACTTTCCAAAAATACCTTCGATGTTATAGTTTAAAATGTCTATTTTAATAATATTTGATATTAACTTGAACTTCTGAATTGCCCAAGTGACAAGACTCTTGGACCGCATGCAGCATCTGTCGATTATGAATGTACAAAAAAAAAAAAAGAAAAAAGAAAAAAAAGGAAAACTAAACCCTGAAAAAGAAATAAGAACCAATTACTGTTTTTTTTGTTTTGTTTTCGAGAAGACAATGCCGAATACCGACTGGGAGCGGAAGCCAACCGAGTTCTTCAGTAAACAGAACTTGCACTCGAGCAGATAGAAAACAGCCTCATTTCCTTTATAAAGAGTTCGCTAAAATTTATTCACCCCCATTGGTCGGGGTCGGATGAGAATTTTCTTCTTTCCACAGTAGAAACCTGGTTCAAATCACAATTATTATACGATCGGTGAATCAGTGAAAAGGAAATTAAATAAATTAGTTTGTATATATATTTTTTTTATTAGACACTCTTTTTTCCAGCAAACATGTGATAATTTAAAAAGTAATTTTTTTTAAATAAATTTTTTAATGGTTATTAAAAAGAATATACGATATAATAAATAATAATACAATAAATTTCACATGTTTTTCTTTGTTCTTTTAATGTTTTCCTTGTTGTCATATAGGCATTATGTATACAATATAAATAAGATTTACATTTTTTTTATCAGACAAGATTTTTTTATCAAATCCTGGAGTGTATGGATTTGTGGCTTTAAAATTTTTCTGTTACGTTATTTACACATATTTATAAACATCAGTAATCGCTTATCTATAATTTTACATGATATATATATAAATTTATTTATGTATACAGTTATGAAGCTCACAGAAGTTTGATTTTTTTTTTTAAATTGAATTTTAATATTGCGAAAGCAATTTACAGAACTGATTTAGTTAAAATTTTCGATAATCGGGTTTTCGGCTAGAAAACCCTAAAAGCTATCTGCATAGGCCCGGTAATGCCTGGCCATATGCAGTACGGGTTGGACGACCCTGCACAAAATTATCACCGTTTGAAACAGGAAAAAAAATAGGAAATGATATTCGCCCTGTCTGTTGTGACAATCCAGAATATATCCGGGGGGGTTAAATCAATAGTTTAATCTTAATATAGGCTGTTAGGGTCAACTTAATATTTTATTTTTAAACAAATTCAAACAAAAACATTTCTTAAAAAAAAAATTATATATCTCCCAAACAAAAACAAATTGGAGTTTTATTTCTGCTTTTCTAAATATACAAATATATATTATAAATACATGTTTTATGAATTATAAAAGTAGAGAAATAAGACAAACCCATATTGAGAATGTATCTGTTATTCTGACTCCACTATTCTTATTATTGTCATACAATGCTATTTCTTTATTCTGAAAATATCCGTGACAAGAATTTTCTCGCTTTATATAATTACAATTTGGTGTAATCATAAATTATTATAATGAAAGCATTGGTAAATTGTGGTGAAAGAACATCTGGAGTTAGAATTTGTAGGATTTACTCAATGAGACTATTTTTTTATTTTTATTTTTTTTAATAAACATTTATAAAATTTCCAAAAAAAAGTAACATCATTAGACGTTTTACCTTAAGGTCAATCAAATGGTTAAATTTTGGACAAGGGGTTTTAAGACAATTTTTTAAATAAAATCTATAAAACAAAAAAATATTTTGATAAGGAGAGAATTTTCATCTTTCGTACATTTTGACAGGGTAAAAAAAAAATCAAAATTCTTTAAACTGACCTCAGTCGACATCTATCACACTTCTTCGAGGCCTCGATGCCTCGTTGCTCCAATATATCTTCAAGGCCTTCTCTTTTCGATTCAGGAAGGAAGGAACTCTGTTTTCCCGATTGTACTCATAGCAGGAAGCTCGAATCTCCTCTTCTTTGGAGAGTTTTTTCATTTCTTCTTCCCGATCTCTGTGAACAAAGTTTTTACGTTTTCAAAATTAGCCCTGAAAAATATTTGTTTTTACAATTTCTTTATTTAGTATGTATTCATTATTTTTTAACTGAAGAACTACAACAATATATAAATTTTTTAGTTATAAAATAGTTAATTATTTAGTATGTACGTAGGTGACTTGTAAATAAAAAGTTAGTTATTCAGATATCTCGTGAGATGCGGTTGGGTGTGATGTAGGTTTCAGAAAAACATTTTCTTTATCGTGCCAACGTTTCGATCTTTTATTGAGATCATCTTCAGGGCTCAAAGTGTTTGTCTTCTGTAATTGTGCCATCCTTGCGTGTCGTGTTGAGAGTGCCCACACTTTTCATATATATGCTAAAATTTTATTTACATTAAGTTTGTTCTAACACATTCCCAAACCATTATGACTGCGCGTACTGAACATTGACTGATCATGGATTCTTAACTCGGTTGGAACGCCTTTTTCCAGACTGCAACAGTTTAGGTTACTCATGTGGTAATATAACACAGTAAAAACCCGAAATATCGTAAGAAAGTGCTGGCCCGTTGAAAAAATCTCGTAGGAAACCAATGCATTTCAGTCCCATTGGTCAAAATCTTTATTAAACAAGTGAATAGAGTGGTAACGGACTGAGTTTCTTGAAATTATGAGTGATTGAGTGAGTATGGAGTTCAATCCTTTTTAAAAAGATGGTTCCTACTCACATTAAGTTGTTTTGCAACAATCCACATTGAGCCCTTTAGCTCATCGTCAGGGTTGAAGGGTTTCTACAAACACGTCTCTCAACCCTTCAACCTGACGATGAGCTAAAGGGCTCAAAATCCGGATTGTTGCGAAACAACTTAATGTGAGTAGGAACCATCGTTTTAAAAAGGACTGAATTTCTTGTCACCCACAAGGTTGTGACAGTGTTGGGTGTTCCCAGGATTTTGTTTGGTACAGTTACACCCGTTGCTACTGATTCAAGATAAACCACTTTGCTTACTGCGATGAATTGCTGACAAAGCATGGAAAAATATAACAGCAACTGCAATAAAAAAAAATTAAAAGGATATCGAATGGCATCTCTTGTCATAAAATGAAGAAATTCCCATCACTTTTCAGAGCTTTGTTAATTTTGACAATGTCATTGCAGTTACGGGGATGATTAACGATGATCAAATTTTAACTGGAACAGACGATGGATGGTGAAAAAGATCCAAGTATACTAAAAAGGTCTAGAAATTATCAACTGCATGTCATTTTTTTGCGGAATCAAACGTGGAAAATGTGTTCGGGGCAATTCACACTATGGAATTAGCAATTGATAACATATGTTATTTTTTAATGCAAACAAAAATTGATAAATATTTTCACAAATACGTATAATGTTTGTAAAAATAATGATATGTGTACATGTAAAAACAATAAAAACTTTAATTACATACATATGTATGTACAATACACAAAAAAATTAATGTGTAGAGATTAGTGACCGTTAATCGATAGTAATTCAGATATCGTGAGATGCTGTCGACCGCATCTCACGATATCTGAATTACCAAAAAAATTTAAAACTCGATATAACTTTTTTTTTTATTTTTTACCCTGGATATACTAAACAAGCCATAATTTCAATACGGTGAACATTTTTTTGTAACTATCCTTTGTCCCATTGAATATATAATATATCGGGATTTAACTGTAATTTGTAAAATTTAAAAAAAATGCATTTTTATTTTGTAGAATTTTTTAAGCACAAGAAAGATAAATTTAAAAATGAAAGGTTTATTTTCTGTTTTATTAATTTATTATATTCTTCCTTTTATCACATTTTTTAACATTCATGTGGGCGCACAGGTGGTAGTCTGCCGCTCTTGTCATAAAATCGCTAGTAACTTTTTTCTACGGTTTTGCAGCGTCGTGTGGGGATTGTATTCTCGACTTACGATAAAACTAAATTGTGAAGTAATCATCTTCTGGATTGGCGAGTCACGCCTGTCATTCACTGACAAACATTTCTAGTCGGTAGTTTACCGCCTTGCATTAAAGTTTCACCATTTCAGCGAAATGTAATTATCAATTTTATATTGTTGTAGGTTTATTGTACAGAAGAATTACCAATAATATATTAACATTTTTCAATGCACTGCACTATTTGTTATTCTATCTAAAGAATCATTATGTACTGTTGGAATGTAAATTTGAATTGTTATAAAAAAGGCGGAACATGTTCACTAACGCCTGTTCGTGTAAAAAGTGTTATACTTGTAAGACCTGTAGTCACGTGGATGTTTGATTAAATCAAGACTGTAAAATTAATATCTTTTTTAAAACACTTTTTATTTTATTCCTTTATCCTACATGTACCATTCTCAAGTTTTTTCTTATTGTTAAGGTTGTTTTGTTCTTTTCATTATTAATTGATATATTACAATTAATTAAGGTTTTTAGTTGAGAGAAAAAAGTCAATGGCACGAGTGGGATTCGAACCCACGATCTTCGGCTAGATACCCGCTGCTCTACCACTTGAGCTATCGTGACCTCGAACCACTCGGACATCAACTTCCCATCTCAACTGCACCTTTTGAACTTTCCCTCCTTTTTGCCATTTTTCAAATGTCGTGTAATCCCACTCGTGCCATTGACTTTTTTATCTCAACTAAAAACCTTAATTAATTGTAATATATTAATTGGTCAAGCGGACCACGAAATTAGGGAATTTATTAAAAATGAAGTATACTTCACTAAAGCTCTCCGTGGCCATTTCATTTGTCGTCGAGAATCCAACCCGATTACACGACATTTGAAAAATGCCAAAAAGGAGAGAAAATTCAAAAGGTTCAGTTGAGATGGGAAGTTGGTGCCCGAGTGGATCGAGGTCACGATAGCTCAAGTGGTAGAGCAGCGGAGTATCAAGCCGAAGATCGTGGGTTCGAATCCTGCTCGTGCCATTGACTTTTTATCTCTACTAAAAACCTTAATTAATTGTAATATATTAATTGGTCAAGCGGACCACGAAATTAGTGAAATTAATTGATATATTTCTCTTTTTCTTATTTTCATTGCATACTAATCATAAAACAATAATATTATTGTAGGTAAGTACCTTCCAAATATACCTACCTACAAGGTGTAAATATATTTTCTCCTCATAAAGGACTGGGGTGTTTTTCACCTTTTTTAAGGTTCATCCATCAAATCAAAATGATTCTGACATTCAAGAATGTCTTTCACAAGTTCAAGTTTTCAAGTATATTTTTTTTTTGCGCTACATTTACTTCAAAAGACTGATATTGTCTGTTGATCTCGTATTGCTTGTGATTCATTATTTTGTCATTTTGAATACATATTTTCAATGTTTAAACGTGTGTGTTAGAGCGTCTATCAAAAAATACACCTATTTCATAGGATCGGGATGAAATATTGGATGAAAACGTGTTTAAACAAGTTGATGGTAGAATAACGCCCTGCATCCATGAGTGAAAAAAAAAAAAAAAAAAAAATCACGCCTGCATGAAGGTTCACTGATACGTGTAAATTACAATATTTTTTATTTTGCTTATTTATTAAAAAATAAATACATATTGTATGTACAAAATTTATATTTTGCATATAAATCCGTGCTCGGAATTGGCAAGAGCAAGTGTGGGAAAAATTTGTGCGTTTGACTACCAGTCCTAAGACAAATCCTCGGACTGTTTTGACAGTCAAAAACCAGTGAAAAACCTGGCCTGAAAACGTGATGAAACGTCTAAACTCAACTGAGCATACACCGGCCAGTTTGCTGAAGTATGGACATGTGATGGAACAAACCTTTATATTTTACAACAATTTTCAAGTGTCAGTATGATAAAATTTTAATAACATTATTTTTCATAATTACTTATTAATTTTATCTTTCATAATTACTTAACTGTAAGGTTATGAATCTCCTACACAACTTATACATTCCCGATTTTTTTATTGCTATCGAATCATTTACCACATACGAATTGCAGAATTATCATCCATTTTGCTCACTTGCACACAGAAACAATTCAAACTGAAAATTGATAGCTTCAGGGTAACTGGAAAAATTAAAACAATAGAAGAAGGGTAAGGGATTATGTCGTGAGTAGTACGGCTAAGCAGTTTTCCTATCTCAGTGAGTAAAGTGACTTAATGTATTAACAATTGAACTTAAAAAAATAAAATTAAAATTAAAGTACTGGAACAAAACAATTATGATGTGGAACCTCGATAGACATGTCTGAATAGACTAAATAAACAGAACAATAACAATGACATTTTTGTTCAAAATTTTCAAAGATTTAAGATTTAATAGAAGAAATCATTGGTGGGTAGATTAAAAAAAGAGACAAACAAGCGAAGAAAAAAATTCACTCATTCTCACAACAGCAGTGCGAATGTTAACAATCATCAGAGGCCAACCCAGCAAGGAGAGGTAGAGCGAGATGATCGGTAAGGATTTAAGGCAGACCCAAGAAGAATTTAAAATATTACCTGAAGAAAACTATGGTATCGTCCTCGGGCAAATATTTACAATCGTCTTCTCCGGAGTCGTCCTCCAAAGTCCAGTTTAACCTTGTGAGCAAGAGGGGCTGGATTTCGTCCTGAAAGCTTGTACCATCCCCTTTGGCGACTTCGATATTCTGCATGGGAATATCGCTTATTTCGGACAGCTGAAAAAAATTAATTGAAAAGATAAATTACTGTTTATTTGTGATGATGAGGCAATTAATTCAGATTGAATGTTACCTTCTGTTTGAAATTGACTAGTGAAGGAGACTCGAGCACAACCTCAACCAGAGGGCCGAGACTGAGCGACGAGGTGTGCCAACGGCGTGCGAATATCACCGAATGAGTATTCCTGTTCACCTGCTCGGGTTTGTCCAGGATCTGAACAAATAGTTCGACTGAAGAGCCCAACTTTTTATCCCAAACCTCATGGTCCAACAATACTGATCCGACACTCCTTGAAAACTTTTTCCTCAGACGGAACCTGATAATTTCAAAAAATTATCTGTTATAAAAACCTAATAAGTTATATTTATTTATTTTGCCCTTCTACCACTCCGCCAAGTCTGAGGGAGAATTGATAAAATAATGTACATTTGTTTAATATTCTAAAATTTGGTCTGACCATTTTCATCTGCCTATCTTCCCTGGGTGCCTGTCAGGCACACTGAAGATGGCAAAATGCTAAATTGTGTTTTGACAGACCGACCCAGTCTAGAATAAGGACAGGTAGATCAAAATCATCCGTAACGACCAAATTTCACGACTATCGACCTGGCAGAAATGAAAAAATTTCAGAATTTACAATCAATCTCTGAGAATAGGAAGTTTAATAATTCCTGTTAATTCTTATAACAAATAAATAAAAGCGCCATAGACAAATTGATTTTTTTTTTTTTTTTTTTTAACGAGGGTTTGCAACAGCAGAAGTCATATAAACCCTCAGGGTGCCGGTGTTTTTGAAAAAAAAAGCACATTTGTAAGTATGTCGTGTTTGAATGCAGGGCAGCTGGATTCGAACCCTGGACCTTTACCTTACAGTGATGAGCGCAGTGTCAATGCCTAAACTGTTGCGGCCACCGACGCCCTTCTAAATCTTAATATACATAAAAGGCATATAGCTCAACTCTAGCTATTCTTTATATTAGAACTCAATAATTCAAGTTACCTTCTACGAATCACTAATTATTAAAAAAAAAAAAAAATCAGTTTTAAAATAAAAAATGTAGAAAACCTAAAACTATAAAAGTTGGAAACAAAGTAATTTGGCCGTTTCCGATCATGTCTTGGTCTGCTTATCCATTCTGTCTGCTAGATGCATTGTGGCATTTTACCATCTTCAGTGGTTGATCTGAAGATAAGACAAAACCACTTTAGATGGAGAAATCCTAACAGATAAAATCAGCAATAATAGCTGCAAATGTAGTTTGATCATCCCAGTCTGCCAATTCTCACAAGAAATGGGAAAAACCGCTCTTTTTAACGATTGTATCAAAACGCTCACTCAGCGAAATGAATCAGATCTTTTTCCTGGCTCATTGCTTGCGCTAACCAAATTAATCTTATTTATGATTCTGTGAGTAAACTTTGGCGGGTTTTTGGAATTTCAACGTGCCAACCATAAAGATTGATTGTCTGAACTACAGGGTAAACCATTCTCATTTTTTATTACTACCCATAATTTAAATTCACTAATTTCATGGTCCGCTTGACCAATTAATATATTACAATTAATTAAGGTTTTTAGTTGAGATAAAAAAGTCAATGGCTCAAGCGGGATTCCAAAAATGGCAAAAAGGAGGGAAAATTCAAAAGGTGGGGTTGAGATGGGAAGTTAGTGTCCGAGTGGATCGAGGTCACGATAGTTCAAGTGGTAGAGCAGCGGCGTATCAAGCCGAAGATCGTGGGTTCGAATCCAGCTCATGCCATTGACTTTTTTAACTCAACTAAAATCCTTAATTAATTGTAATTGTCATTTCTTTTATATAACAATTAACTATTGTAATTTTAATTTTAGGGGACTGCAGTAGCGAAGGGGTCTCCAGGTAGACTCTTGGCTCATAGGCTCCATGGTTGTGGGTTCAATTCCTACCGTTACCCCTAGCCCTTGTTTTCATGCAACCCCCCCACCCCAACTATTATTATTGTTATTTAATCAACGGAATCATATTCTGGCTAATATGCAAGCTCATAAGACTATTAATTTTGAAATGTTTTGTGAACAAATGAATAAAACACAATTAAATAAACAGAATAAATAAATAAGAGCTAGAGTAATGCTCAAAGCTAGGAAGTGGGATCATGGAGCATAGAAAAACGTGAAAAAACAGGCGAGAGCGCTGTAGAAAAGCAGATTCCGGACAGCCTGGAGAAGATAATCAGGAGAGCAAAGAGCACCTTTAGGGGCAAACAGGGTGAAGTTGCATGTCAAGGTAATAAGTGGTGACAAAGAACTAATTCAAAACTAAGTGGCAACTGCTGAAGGGTAGGGATTTGAGCTACCTCTTTTATTTATTTATTTATTAAAAGAAAAAATTTTTTAAGCGGTTCATCGCTTGTTCAGTATAGTGAGTTAACTCTTCGCAATTTGTCATTGTCATTTCTGATTAAATATTTATGATGACAAAGCACATAATGTAAAACCTGTGATAACAAGGATAGACAAACTGTCCAATGAGAGGCGACCAAATTATTAAAAAAACTACAAAATATATTATTTCATCTCAAAACAACATTATAATAAAATTAATTTATAGAATAATTTGGTTAATTTCACCTGTCATAAGGTATTTTGATCTCAGGATTTCTCCTCTCTAACTCCTTAAGCATGGCCTTTTTCGTCTCTCCGACCGTTGTACCGAGTGTTATAACCCAGTCGAAAAAGAATTCAACTTTCTAAAATTTCAGAATCGCATTAATCGAGTTAAACGTTGATTTTTTTTATAGTTTGCAATGAAAATAGGGAAGAAAAAAAAATCACCCCTGAATCGCTGAGACTGAGCCTGTAGACTTTGACCTTCACTTCCCCGTCATTCAAAACTCGGTGCAGTGAAATTTTCACTTTATCATCATCCCTCAGGTCTTGCAGGGAACTGACGATGATCCCACTGCTGTCTGGATCCATGCCCTTGGTCAGCTTGAGATACTTGCTCGAGACACAGACGTACTTCTCCAGTTTGGATTTCAGGACGGGAATCGGCATCCGTACATCAACGACAACTTTTAATCCTAGTGGGAAAAATTGTTAAAAAATTTTCATTACGGTTATGTATATAAAAAAAAAATTGATTACGTCTATTTTGATTCAGGACGACTACAAAAGGGGATGCAGAAAAGTATAAGTTTTTGGCAGTGACTTCATCCCAGTTTTCTTCCTCCTGCTTCGGACTGAATCCCATACTCTGGAATAATTATAAAACTTTCAAGAATTTTCCATTTATACAAATGAAAAATAGTGTGAAAATACCTTTGCAGATGCTGGCTCCGGAGAGGACAACTGTTCTGAATCACTTCCACTGGATAATTGACATTCATTCTGTTCTCCGATGATTGTTCTAAAAATTAAAATCATATGAATATATAGATAATTTAAAAATTAACGCGAGTTTACCTCTCACTGTCTGTCAGGCTGCTGTCTTCACTTGTGCTCTGATCAGAAGTCCCGCCGAAAACAGCCTCTTCTTCATTTGCTCCGTTTACAAGAGGTGTACAGACTTGATTATCACCTATAGAAAAACAAAAGAAAAATTGTATCGGGTCATTAATATTTAAACAAATAAATTTACTTGTTAAAACAGGTTCCATAGGCCTTTCAGACTCAGAATTTTTCTCTTCCTCAAGAGGTGGGATTAGAAGATTCCATAATTTTTCATTAACTAAAAAAAATTTTTAATCAGTTTTCCTATACTTCAGTAACTTAAAATTAAACTGATCTGTACCTTCACAAGTAAGGGGCATTATAAATTCTAAGGATATCACATGTTGAAGCTCTTTAACCAATTTGTACAGTTGCGAAGACTCAAAGTTTGTGAAGTCATCTCCCTCGGTGCCTTTCGGGCACACAAAGACTTTGCATGTAGGATTAATCCTATACAACGATCTCATCGAATCTCTAGCAGCGGTGTCCTAGACAAAATTGAAATTATTATTATTATTATTATTATTATTATTTTCAAATAAAAACATTTTATTTACCCTGTTGTTACAAAATATGCTTTTGAATTGACATTTGTTATCATCGTTCAACAGGCAGACTTTAGGCGTCGTCAAGATTATGTGGAAGTCCATTGTATTAAGGCTCAGAGCTTTGCTGAAAAATTGGCGTAGGTCAGAGAGCTGCTGGTTCGGTGTCGTTCTAACGTGATGTGAACTCTGAATCTCGCCCAACTCGGGGTCAAGGACATGCACCACCATGTGAATATCTATAATTAAAAAAAAAAAAAAAAATTAAAAATCTGACGGATTTTCTAGCTAAAACAATATTTTTTACCTTCGGAGGTATAAGGCATGAATGGTTTGTTTTTATCCCTGAATTCAAGCAAGAAATCGATGTTGTGCGGTTTAGACTTCAGAATTTGGTTCAAAGGTTTGTCCTTCTCCGCCTCTAGACTCATTTCGATTTGGCCTGTGTCTCGGTTAAATAACACAAGCCGACATTGATCTTCAGCGATAATATTTTCCAAATTGAATTTCTATTAAAAAGAAAACCATATGGTCACATTTTTAGCCTGTTTTTTTATCGTATATATAATTAATTACACTCCAAGCGAGGCGGGTGGCGTCAGCAAGCGTGTCATAGCCATAGATATGTATCTTTTCCTCATGGATCATTACATCGTTCATAAGATCGATGGCAAAAATTTTCATCTTGACCATTTCCTCCTGTCGAGCTTTCATAGCCTTTTCTTCCTCTTCTGCTTTCTTTATATCCTTAAGCGTTTCCTATAATTAGAGATCAATTTCTAAATAAATAAAAATAAACGTAAAGTTTGAATATTTTGGGTCAATACAAAATGGAGGTTTTCCTTTTTGTTGGAGTTTAATAACAATTGTGTAAACAAAACTATAAGAACCATAATACTACGCGAAAGGGGGGGGGGTTCGCTTTAAGTGCCACATCGCCTGAAAGGCTCTTTTTCAACACACCTGGCATATGGCCTTATAAGTCACTTACTTGTTTATAAGGTGGGAGGCTACGAAATGCTCTCCGAACCTCTCGGCATCTCGTGGCCATTCCATCACTCCTGAATGGATGGGCCCCCCTTGGTTTCCTAACATGGCTTTCGATTTAAGAGGAATGTTAACCATTCTTAGGGAAGCCCAGTCACTCGGTGAAAGTTTCTGGTAAACAGAACCACCGAAGAGCAAGCTATGGGAAATTACTTGCGTCTATAGTTCAGTTGGTCATGTTCCATCCCCTGTCTTTTCAGACATGATCTGGTTCACTGATCCACCTGTGAGACTGATCATACACCCACTGTTATTTTACTGACGATTTCTTTCCTCTGCACACGAAGATAGTGCTTTAGAGGGTTCACTATGCTCTCTGAGCTGCACTATTATTTTGCACCGGTATGAATAAAGGAGTACTGCTGTTCAGGAGAAATGAAGGACATAAAAGATTAAAAAAGGGTTCCACCTTTTGGTACGTAGTCTTCCTAAGAAAACCAGGTCACTCCAGGCGTTTGTAAATGTGTCCATGAGTGTGAAGCTCACCTTTTCCAGTTGTGCTCCATACTCTGGGTCGATCTTGTTTACCTTTTTCATACCTTTTTGTGAAAGGGGCAGAGAACCGTACATGAAACAGTGCAGTGTTGGCTTCAAAAACTATATGAAAATTACCACCTTAAAACAAAGCAGGTGGCTAATCTGCTGTTTGACACCAGCTACAAGCTATGATCTTAGTTGACATCACAAGAACTACACAAAAAATGGTCAATCTACAATTGTTCGCCACATAGGACGGCTACTGGTAAAACAAAACAGCTCACCAAGTTGGTACTGCAAGTAGGAAATATGTTCAATGTTTTCCTTATGCACCAAATCAATTTCTTGATGAAATAACATGCGATGAAAAATGGATTTTACATGACAACAGTGAAAAACCAGGGTATTTTACGAAGCTGAGCTTGCACGCCAAAAAAATTACTGACCCTTTCTGGTAATTTTTTAAAGGATGACAGCTTCCTCACTGCGGTAAAATGTTGTAATGAAAATAAAATAGAGCAAAAACTGACGTTTGTTCACCACACTGATTGGACGGAAGGGGCGATTCACAACCACACAACACACATTGAATTATAGGCATATCAATGGAAGGCCAACCCAACCTCAGTGGCTACATGGCAATGGATCTGTTGATGCAAACCCCCATTTAAAAAAAAAAAAAAAAAAAAAAAAAAAGGCAAGAAATAGTTTATAAACCAGGGTGATATTGAAATTCCAGGGGTTAGTCAATTTCGAAAGACTCAAGTCTTCCGGGATAAATAAAATAGTTGTGCATTGACAAAAATGTATAAAACATAATGGAAATTATATTACAAGTATTGAGTTGATGATGGGTTTTGGTCTGTTTGTCGGTGAACTCATTTTCAAGCAGCACATGGCCCTTTTTTTCTCTCCATTCGTAGGAGACAGGCCCAGTTAGTGACCCTGTGATGCTTCAATATAAATATATTTTGTTAAACTACAGTTTGTTTTTAACACATTTAATACGAGAACACACAGGTGTGTCTTAAGTTTAAATCCAATGGGCCGATGGGATACTCTTGTTCATCCTAATTCCCTTTACTTTGGTGACTGATCAGCCTTCTCAGTTTAAATATTTTTCTTTTCATTAGGTATGCCTCATCCCCAATCTTCCTAACAAAAAGAAAAATATCTAATTCCCTTTATTTTCTTTTGAGGATTTGTAGGGTATGCTTTGTGTGAAAACGTTCTATTACCTGCCTGAACCAAGCATCTTATAGTGCGTTTTGCCCAATTTATTCCGACTTTTTTTTCTGTATTAACTTATGGCCGTTGTTTTGTAACACTAATCCTTTCCTCATATATGGATGTTGTTCCAAAAGACGCATCTCTTCTAGAAAACCCCTGCTTTCGAAGCTTGTTTTGAGGTGTTGGGGTATTTTTGGAAATGAATGGTGTCACGGGCATTTAGTACCACTTTAGCAGCTCTATTGTGAAGACCATTTTTCGATTTGACCTTTTGGAATTTTTTTATTAAAAAAAAAAAAAAAAATTAATAAAATGTTGGCCCTATCTCGGGAGAGTTTTACAAATTGTGTCATAACGAATGTGTTAGGCAGCCCATAGACGGTCAATATTATTGTATAATATAGATTGCACAATAATTTGACGGTTGCCCCTTAACGTTCAATAATATTGTACAAAATTTTGTTTGTGCAATGAAGTTGAATAGATTGAAGGTGATATTGAAGTTTGTGCAATATTTAGATACTGTACAAACTGACATATGGGCTGCTTAAAACACTTAAGTAGATGTTATTATTTATGTTTTCATGCATTTATTTCTTCAATTCAATTTATCAGAACTTATTGAATTTAAATTATTTATTTCATGTACATACTGATTCATTCAAATTTTTCACAGGTACATAATTTTTTTTCCGTCTTTATGACTGTTTTTATTGGTATATAAATATTTTATATTTTGTTACTATTTAGGGATGTCTGGGAAACAGTCGTCACCAACCCGGGCTGCCCTTCTAGCCTCCAAAAAATTTTCCAAGATTCATGACAGACGAGGAAATTTGTGTAATTCTAGAACAGGTTCCTACCCTAAGCAACCTGCTTTATGTTGTAAAAAATATCACAATTTTTACCAATATTGTATGAATTGCACAACTTAATTTTTGAAAGTATTTCATTGTACATTTATTTATTAGATTGTATTTTTATAGATTTCATTTGTTCAATGTACTCTGTAAATCTAGTCTTATATTTTACCTGACTAAAACAAATTCCATTACAACCTTGTTTCAGGGTACATTTACCTGAGTAAGAAGAATCGATTTTCAAATAAAACTAGGAAAATAGGTGGAAACTAAGAGAAGTAGAAAACAGGTGGAAAAAAAAAGTTAACGGATTAGGTTCCCGAACAATGTGTTAATGGAATCCAAAAACCTCCGTTATTATTGAACAAACCCGATATTTAAAATATTAACTTAATCACCTTGATATGAGGTGGAAAATTTTCTTCCGTCATTGCTGTACAGTTTTTATCTTTGTCGATTTGCCTGTACATTAGCATGTAAGCGTTAGTGCTCGAACTGTATGCTCCACTGTAGTAGCCTCTTGTCGGTCCACCTCCGTAAGTTTTTTCAATATCCTCCCTTGTAATCTTTATAAAGAAAAAATCAAAAATACAATTTACTGCCGTGCACCGTATCAAGAAAAACTTACAGTTGTGACAGTCTGATCATTGAAACAGTGCCATTCCCCTTTTGAGAAATCTTTGATGTAAGCATAATAGTGCCCACCGCTTGCACTGCCAGAATGGATCATGATGGAGTAAAGCTCGTAAACAAAAGGCCCTGAAGGCTTGCTGTCCTGACCGTTCTTATTATTTTCGTGGTTGTTGATTCCGTTGCTGCTCAAGTCGATTCCTTCATCTTCTTCCTGGAAACAATAATTTGCCAAGTAGCAACATTTTATTTTATTTTATTTTAAATCCTCACCTGGTCTAAATCTGATATGTCCATTTTCTTTTCTACCATGCTTTCTTCCTCAAATGGAGAATCAACAGTCGAATCGCACTTCATGGAAGTCTCAGAAGATTCTAACTGCTCAATGCCTTCTTCCGGCTCATCCAAACTCTTTATGAACTTGTTCAAATCGAGAATCTCCGGGAAAGAAACCCTGTGAATAAATTGTCCCTTTATTTTCTGTATATTATTAAATGCAACAGTCAACGAACTTATCATTCAATTTGATCCGATTCATCGATGAATAATCAAAATCGAATCTTTTTAAATGGAGTGTAAGCAAATAGGGAAACTTTGTGAATTTGAGACCCTTATGAGCATCGCATTTGCTGTTACACGACTCGCAGAAATACTGATTGTTTCCGTCCAGAGTTTCAGGTAGTACGAACGCATTTAGAGCTTCGGTCTGAAAATGAAGCAAAAACTGTACAAATGAAGACAAAAAAATTGAAATAATTATTTACAATGCTCCCATAAGCAACGGTACTACCAAATGGCCGGACAGGAAGAGGGATGTCTAAGAAAGTGTCCTCCCGACATTTCTCCTTTCGACACACAAGACATTCGACATAATCAGTCATTTTACCTGACAATAGTAAAAAAAAAGAAAAGAAAAGAAAAAATTGTAACAGATAAAAAGAAAAAAAAGTCGAATTGTATGTTTTTAAGTAATTACCTTGATATAGACGATTAATAAGATCAGCTTGTTCAGTATCTTTGAACTCGTGTTCTAACGCATCAAACATAACTCGACAAAGTTCCTGGATGTCTTGCTGTTGCCAGACTTCACCCGAAACCCAACCGAAGCTTCTTGTCAACTCAGTAGTTTCTACAGCTATTCTTGTAGAAGTCTATATAAAAATTAGTTACAACCAAAAATCATTTCAGTAATATATAAAAAATTATGTGATCAAAAATGAATAGTGCCTTAATTACTGGGCTAATGTAGCTTATTAAGGCTTAAAAGTCTCAGCATGACTGCTCAGTAAAGTCAGTAAGTAAAAAACTTGGTAGGCATCCGATAACCAACTAGCCAACTGGCGGTCAAGCAAGAACCGTAGACTGTCTATGCTAATTTTCAGAGAGTTACAAGTGCTGATTTTTTTTTTGTAATTAGTGAAATATTTTGTGATATCAAGTCAATATTTCAGTTTAGATTTACAGCGAACCACTCAGCCCAACATCAACATACTAAAGATATTGTAAAAGGATTTAAACTTAGCACACCATCCGCGCATTTCTAGATTTGGAAAAAGCTTTCGATAAGTTTGGCACTTAGGCTTAAAAATTCAGGTTAAAAATATGGGACTTCCATTATACCTTTACTCTCCTTAGCCAACGGGTCGTTCTACATTAAAATTATTGAGCATACCTCAGTGTCAAAGCAAATTAAAGCAGGCACTTCTCAGGGCTCTGTCCTTTCACCTATGCTTTTCTATACATACATGTGACCTTCCAAACCATACATAGTGACATTTGCAGATGCCGTAAGACACGCCAAAGATGATAATTATAGAGGCAGCATTTTTTATTGAATGCACTCAAAGAAATCAAATTGTACAATTGTAATCAGAAAAATGGAAAATCACCTTAGACGCATCTAAATGTGAAGCAAAAATTTTTCCCATTTTCCTCATGACCGCCCAAAGTTGATCATCAACAACCCGTGGAGCGATAAAAAAGACTTTTGTCCAATATCTTGGCATCCATCTGGATAGGAGACTTCCCTGGGGCAGACACATAAAGGAAAAAGGCTATGCTAGAGCTATGAAACTCATAGCTAAATAGAAAAAGAAAAAACAAAATTCTGCACACTGATATTCCAGGCGATATGTCCCTTTATCTTATATGGCATGAAGTACGGGGAGCTGCAGCAACCACGAAAATAAATCCAAGCACTGCAAAACAAAATGCTCATAAAGGTGGTAAATGCCCCATGGTACGTGAGAAACTCTCAACCTCATCGAGATTTAACTTCCCAAACATTAAAGAATCTATTACAACCAAATTCAAAAAATTCCACACTAATCTAGGTGTAAACGTAAACAGTGCCATTCACTTTAACCTGGGACATTCCGGTCAAAAAGTTAAATTGTGAACTTGATTTATAAAAATGTAACTGGTTGAAACTTCTTAATTTCTTCTAATAATAAAAATGGAAAAACAGTAAATTTACATTCGATTAAATTAATATTTAACAAATCCATTAAATGCATTTCTTTTAAAATGAAATAAATTTAAATCAACAAATGGCTGAGTTAATTGACCGTAATAAGTTACAAAGAAGCCTTTATAAATTTTACAAACCTGTAAATTGAGGAAGAGCTTTTGCAATTGATATGGTATACACATGTTAGGCTCGGTGTTACCGTCAAATTTCCAGATGTAAAGCGCGTTTCTGAATTCAGGCGTCATATAAAGCGCTTGAAGTAGGCTGTTGAGGTAGCATGTCATGGCCTGGTTCACAAGCCCGACAAAACCTTAAACAAAAAAATGTTTAATATTCGAAGAGTAATTTCAAATAAATTGTAGCTATAACCCACTGCTTCGTCGAACAGGGGGGGATGCAAAAGTGATTTCATTGTGAAACGGTATAAAAGCTTCTGGCGTTTTGATCTTCATAGCTTTATCATCGTCGTTTTTACTGGGCTTCGGCTCCGATTCCTTGATGACATCGAGAACAAGGGAGTTCCTACTCGGGTACAGGCTGAATCCAGCTGATTTCAACGTTTCCGGTGAAGACTTGGTAAACTCCTGGAATAATAATGAAAAAATATTTTTAAAAAGTTTATTACAACGGGAATTTCTGCTTTTATAAACTGTAAGAACACTTGGCAATAAAATAAAAACTTTTTTTTTAATGGTATCAGTGTCTACCACACTTGACAAGTCTCAATATGAGTATGTTGATGAATTTTTGGGATACGATATGGTTCAAAAATTTCAGCAACAAAGGTGGGAAGAATCAAACCCACAATCATGAGTAAGGTGAGTTTACACATGAGCTTTTTACTCTCAAGAGTGAAATTTGCAAGTGTAAAGGCTTCTGAGAGTTCAAAAGTAGAGGGAGAGCTCTCCATGAGGTGCAATGTTGCATCTTCCTCGCTAGCATAAACATTTTCCCAACACTCTCGGATTCTCTCAATCGTTTCAAAAAAATTTGAATTTGCTGAGAGTAAAACCCAAAACCCAATAAAAAAAAATAAAAAAAAAGACGGAAATTTGCAAGCTCCTTGGAGCATACAAATTGAATCCAATACAATTTTGGGACATCCAGAATACAGGTTTTAAAAATTAAGTTTAAAAAACCTTGTGATAGAGAAATTAGCAACAGACTTCAATTTCTCAACCCCTGAAATTAATCGTAAGGCAACCGTAAGACACTTACGAACAGAATTGCTTTTCTCATTGCAGTGACTTTGTTACAAATTAAGGGACCCACACATTCTACCAGTAATCCAACTTCAACACTTGAAAATCTGCAAAAATCCTAAATTGCAGGGTGTCCAGTTCCAATTCTCTATTCGTGCTAAAGGATTTTTTTTAAAGCACAAACCTAACGAAGCTGCTGCTATTTCTCTGTTTTGTGTTGAAGACACCTTGTCTAAAAATCACTCTCAGAACTGTCCAGTGCATGTGTAAATGGTCTGAAGCGGATTTGCGAGGGTTGTCATGGAGAGTTGCTCTCCAAGAGTGAATTAGGCGAATTTCACTCTCTTGTGCAAAGGGCTTGAAAGCTCTGGCTGCGAGTTCCTCTCATGAGTAAACGCACCTTAAGAGCAAAGTCTTGATGATCTAATTACTCAGCTATCATGGCCCCTTTTTATGTTTTAGAAGGCTTTTTAATATGAAATGTCAGTAAAATTAAAATAAAAAATAATAATGCATTATTCAAGTTTATTGTCATGTACTGATCCAGATAAATTCTCAAATTTATACTTTTTTCTGACACTCTAGACAATAAAATACTCTAGTTTTTCAACAAATAATCTATGTTTGTAAATACATTTTATAACAGGACTAGTAAAAGAACATTTTATAAAATTTCTGACAACGCTACGGATGAGAATCTGCTCTACATTTCGCCCACGCTTACTTGGAATTGCACAGAACTAAATTTAACTTTGGGCAAAGGCAATGCCAAAAAATTAATGACATAATGACTAAAATTGAACGGTTTACTAAATTTTATCCGCCGTAAGATTTAATAAATTAAACTGGACATTTTTCCATTAAATATTTCTTTAAGGATTTATAACGAAGATGAACCCAAAAGGGAGGTCAAGTTCACCACGGCCGTTTAGTGTAACCTGTGTCTTGGCGCATGTCCAGATCAAGAGTCAAGACGTTCAACAACCTGAAGCATTATTTAAGAAATCTGGGCTAAGCCAACGCTCTTCTCGTCTCAGCCCTTTTGAAAATAATACATCTAATTTCCTGTTTGGACTCTTCCTTAAGATATTAATACACCTGCCATCAGTGCTTATATTTTCTATATGAACTTTTTCATCTGTTATCAATAATAACATTAATTCAAAGCAAGTTGAGACAGAATCAAATAAGTGAAACTAACAAAATATTAGTAAATAAAGTAAAATAGTAACAAAAATATTGCTAAAACTATTATTTTAAATTGCATTTATGAATATCATGAAAATCTAAAGTTTAGACCTTTTTTAAATTAATACAAGAGAAAAAACACTAGACACCAGACAGAAAATAAATAAATCCATTTTAATATATTTTAAGTTCAGCCTTGAGTTTTCAAATAAAAACATAAAAAAAATCATCTAAATTGTAAAAGAACTGTAAATCCGTACTCTTTTTTGTGTGCTAATGGGAGGACATTCTATTTAAAGACAGGGTCAAATGGGGGTAGAACTTCCTCTTTAATAAAAGTAAGGGTAAAATTACTATAGAGCGAGAAGTTTTATTCATAGCTTACAGCGGAGGTTAAGTTTAAAAATAAATCAATAAAAAAATACTTAAGTTACAAATCTCACCAGCGAAATGAACTAGGTTAATGCAAAACTGAACCTATCCAAATGGATTGTTAACAAATTTAAAAGAAATACAAAAATATGTTAACTGTATTTTCCTACCAAGATTCATTTGAATTCAGATTGAAACATTTAGTTAAAAACCTGGTGGAACATTCCACAAAAACTTAATTGAAAAAGATATCAGGTAAAATTTTAAAACCAAGTTTTTTTTAATGTTATTTGTTTTGGAAGATGTTTCATGTTCCTTACCCTATCCAACCAACATATTTTGGCTGTATAATTTAGTCATAAGGACTTTGATATTGTCACCATCTTAAACTAATATGAAGCAAGAATGTATGAAAATGCATCTGAAATCATCGTACAAATGCAAACATCATCGATAATGAATCCTTGCCGTTTTTACAAGACACTATACTGGTAGACCACGTCTGTTTAATCATTCTTTCCGATTATCAAAAAAAAGGGATCTTTTGCCTTCCTTAGATCTTGCCTTAAAGTACGATGAAAAGGCCCAGGGGAAGGGGATCAATGATGATTAAACTTGGGTTACAACGCGTTTCAAATAATTAAGATTTTGTTTGATTAGAAATAATTAAAAAATTGACTCGATTGTTGGTACAGTAAAAACTCTGAAAATGACTTTTAAAAATGAATTTTTTTTGGATTACCTCAAATCTTTTTTTCTGTATAAACATCTAAATTTTCCCCTCATAAAACAAAAACAAAAAATGCAAGGAACAAGGAAAAGAAAATGTACTTAAGAAAGCCGTTCCTAAGCAATGAAAACTTCAATACCTCTAGAAACTTCACTTTAACAAATAAACGAAAATCTTCCATGAAACCCATTAGCAGAAATCAGACGCAAAGGCCCAAGTTTAAGTGCAAAAAAAAGAAAATCCACACTACGTTAATTTGAACTGGCACTGGGTCACTTTCTAAGTCCGCTGACTTCTGCAGGTTTTGATGTGACACAAATGCGTTTCATCGGTGTTACCCAGTCCAAAATACAACCATTGACATAATTTATAGCATACTTTGTTTACATTTATCGCTAATATTTAGCTTTGAATTAGTATTTATGTTTATAAGTGATGGTACTCTAAGAAAAACTCTTATTGTGTTATTTGTTGAAGTCGTGATTAATAATAATAATAAAATTTGACATTATGACATTTCCTTTTGAGGTCTGCAGGTTTATGAACCTTTAGGGTCGTTTCTAATCATTTCAGTCTGGCTATCCTTGTTGTAACCAAAATAATAAGTCTCAGACCGAGGATAGGCAGACCAAAACAATCAACAACCAAGCTAAAAATAATATTTTAATAAAATAAACAAATAAAGGAACCATAGGATGATTCATGATATTCCTTTATGTTTGTTGGATTTTGTTTAAATATTGTTAAATGGAACTGTATATAAAAATCAGCTCCTTTGGGGCAAAACTGGATAAGTAAAAAGCACGTTTCAGGATTTTAAAGTTTAGACCTTTGGTACAAGTGAAATAAAAAAAAAAATTAAGTGTCCAAAAAGGCAGGTTTGCATTTAAAAGGAAGTGGTTTCAACTTAATCAATTCCAAAGACTTACTGGACTAAGAATTTATCTCATGAAGCAAAAATTATTAACAAAACAGAATATTACCAATTTTGGATTATTTCCAAGTTGTTGCTAAGAAAAATCAAAAGGATAGAAAATATTTGCTATTATGTAAAAATACACAAAACTGGATTTTCTTGAAAAAGAGAAAACAAAAACAAGTCTTGTTTTTAGGTTAGTCTGGACATCTTTTTCTATTTCCCTGCACCTTTGCTTTACTCTCTGTATTTTCTGTCATCAACCTCTGCTGACGGCTATTCATATTTCCATTCCTGGATGGCAATTCCACATTAACGCATGACTGAGATTAAGTTCCTGCACTCCATAATTTTCCAAAAATCAATTTAAATTAAGTATTTATGTCTAGATGTTAAGTTGATAAGAGCAGATACTACACTTCAATCTTGGCCAAACCGCCTTGAAAAAATGTGGAACACTTGATGAGTGTTGGTCTTTGGGCTGGCCATAAATACTGTGGTTCGCCTGGACGATTAACCTGCGAGCAAGGTGTACATGGTTCGGTAAAACAACTCTTTTTTTTTCACGTATGATTCTTTGATGCGTCAGGCTCTGACTTCTTTATGAACATTTTGTCATAAGCAGCATCAGCAAGATCATGATACGGCTTGGTTTTTACACACACAATTCAATAAACTCTACGCAAAAACAGAAATGAAAAATGTGAGAGCGTACGCTTTTGACTAATCTGCATATTGAAACCTGTGCAGGTGACCGATGAGCCTCACACTACAGTGTAAGCTAATTCCAGTGAAGGTAGAAAGAATCAAATTGAAATCTAGGTTAGTTGAACAGGTCGCAACACCGCACAGTTTCACCGGAAGTATGTGGCACTCACGTACCGGTTTATCTGTACAGGTTGGCTGCAAATGTTTATGGCCGATGACGTATTAATCTTCTCTGTATTAAATTCACTAATTTCGTGGTCCGCTTGACCAATTAATACATTACAATTAATTAAGGTTTTTAGTTGAGATGAAAAAAAGGTTCACGATAGCTCAGGTGGTAGAGCAGCGGCGTATCTAGCCAAAGGTCGTGGGCTCGAATCCCGCTCGTGCCATTATCTTCTCTGTATTGTTCCAATTTTAATATATCAATGAAGTGGGTACATTGGATTTGACGGTTGTTGAAATTAATGAAATTGAAGTTGGTCGAGGTGATACCACCAGATGGTCTACTAACCTCAACTAACTTTATATAAAACAATTCAAATCATTTTTAAATGCGATTTTATGAGTAACGCTTATCAGTTCAGACTGAACACTTACCCTGTCACCACTTTTTGCCTGATATATGAGCTTGAACGTATCCGGCTCGTACTGCATGTGTTTGCCGACCTGGTCGAAAAGCTCCGAGAGGAGGGTCGAGTCATTGAGTGTGACCTCATACCTCTTGGGCCTGTCTTTCTGGCTCAGCGGGTTGTACCTGACGATGAACTGCACCCTGTGCTCTTCCTCCGATCCGCTCATACCCTGAAAAATTACTCCGGTCAAATCGGCGTCACAAAAACGATCAATCACAATTGTACCTGGAGGCACATGTTATTTTACTAAATTTTTTTCCAGAGTGTTCTCAAGTCGAATCTGTTTTTTTAAATTTCATTTAAAAACTTGGTTGCTTCGAATTTTTCGTTTGGAGGGGGGGGATTGAAATTTGAGAATTGGTATAATTATTGAGGTTTGGGGAGGGTTCTAAGAATAAATTTTGATTCTTAAAATATTTTTATATATGTATATATAAGATTATAATACAGATGGAAATTTTCTTGCTTGTAAAAAGGAAAATGAAAGGACTTTCTCGAATGTTTTTTTTTTTTTTGTTTTTTCAAGTTTTCCCCCGAGCGAACGGTCCGACGAGAGCGAATTTAAATGTCAATATTCACAGTTAGTAAAGTAGACTAATAGAAAAGTGGAAAAGCGACAAATTTGGATTGGAGCCAAGGGGGATTTTTATATTTAGGCACACAAGTGAAACATCTAAGAATAGTAACAAAACACATGAAATTTGTGAGAAAAAAAGAGATATCAGTCGTAACAACAAATAAATAAGGATGTAAATAAAGCGTTAAAAGGCTCCGATGGAGAAGCGGGTAAAATTCTAGGAGAGAAGAGTTAAAAACTGAGATCGAATGAGGATAAAAAGAGTAGATGAAAAGACTTACTTTGTCTTGGATAGAAAATAAATCCGAGGAAAGGGCGACGGAGAAAAAGGCCGGATCCACGAGGGCGACGAAGGATTAAACGTAAATTTGACACATCCTCCGATTTTGGGAATATCGAAAATAAAAGGGTATCAAATATCCAGCAGTTGTGCGTTTGATAACATTGCTGAGTAGAAGTGAGAAGAGGTTACGAATGTGACAGTGGGCCGGCGAGGGGCGTCCGGCCCTTCTAGGATTTCCGTTCAATTCTCAGAACGAGGCGGAGGACATTTCGCCCTGGGCCGTCGAGACTCGAGACGGGAAAGAATTCAAAAAACGCTCCGGATGAGGAAGAGAAAAAGGGGCGATGCGGATGAGGCCAGGCGAGGAGTGTCGCGTCGCGGGTCGCCGTCTTTTCGGGAGGGGGCCGCCTGACGTGCGACGTTTTTACGCATTCGCCTTGAATACGAGTTCGATCCGCGTTTCCCCGATTGATTTTTTATTTTATTTTATTTATTTATTTTTATTAAAGATGCCAAATACCGAAAAAGGAAAACGGCCTGGGTAAAGAATCGGACGGGGATTTTCTTTTCTCAGACACATCAGACCAAATTTGGAAAGTTGGTCTCGCCCCTTTGCGCGGGAGAGCCATTTTTCAAATTCCCCAGTTTATTTTTTTCCTAAAGGAAAACTTTTTAAAAAATATAAATCCAAGCGCTTTTTTTAATCTAGACAATCAGGAGACGAGGTCATGTCTCTACTGACAAATGGGGAAGACACAATAATAATACACAATGTCTATAGACAATCTGTAGACACAATAATATTAATAATCTACACAATGTCTATATTCAACCAGGAGACTCAATGAAAATAATTTAGACAATGTCCAAAGACAACCAGGAGACACGAGGATAATAATATAGACAATCAGGAGACAATGTCATGTCTCTACTGACAAATGGGGAAGACACAATAATAATATACAATGTCTATAGACAATCGGGAGACACAATGATAATAATCTAGACAATCAGGAGACAATGTCATTTCTATACTGACAATCAGGAGACTCAATAAAAATAAATAGACAATGTCCAAAGACAATTCGGAGGCGCAATGATAATCTAGACAATCAGGAGACAATGTCATGTCTCTACTGACAATAAGGAGACTCAATAAAAATAAGTAGACAATGTCCAAAGGCAATTGGGAGACTCAATAAAAATAACTAGACAATGTCCAAAGACAATCGGGAGACGCAATGATAATAAACTAGACAATGTAGTAATCTAGAAAGGGGGAAATTTCATATTTCTCCTGGCAATTAGGAGACCCAATAAAAATAATCTTGACAGTGTCCAAACACAATCAGGAATAATGTCATGTCTCTACTGACAATTGCGAGACAATAATAATAAACTAGACAATGTGTATAGCCATTTAGGAGGCACAATAATAATAATCTAGACAAAGTCCAGACAATCAGGAGACAGAGTCATGTCTCTACAGATAATTGGGAGATCAATTAATAGTAATAATAATAATAATCTACAATGTCTATAGATCAGGAGACAATCCCATGTTACTACTGACATTCGAGAGACTCTAAAAGTAATCTAGACAAGTCTATAGAGAATCAGGAGACTGTGTTATCTCTTCAGATAAACAGGAGACACGATAATAATAATCTATGTCCCAATGAATTTGAACTTGTTCTAAAACACTGTAAGGTAAAAGATCCTGGGTTAAAATATACCTATTATTTCAATATACCTATCAACAGGAACATACGTACCCTTTTGCTGTGTTGTGGGTTAGTGCTGTAATAACCAAAAAATATTTTGTTGAGCATCGGTAGTCGGATGTTGGCTATATTTTTTGACATTTCTTCCACACCGATGCTGATTGCGGCAGCGACACCATTTTGAGGTCAAGATTAAACCATTATTGTGCTACAATCAGTTATGCAAATTATGAACATAGTAAACAAATAGGTCATTAACAGTTTGAGAAAGCCAAGTGAATTTCCTACTGCTACCACAAATTATGTTTTATGAGAAATCATAGAATTAAAACAAAAATGTAAGAACAATTTTTTATTTATTGAAAACTATGCAGTACACCATTTTGATTCATTAATCTTACTTATTAAATATGTAATAATACAACAATGATAACAAAATGACAATTTTTTACAATTTTAATTTTTTTTTACAAATTATAAAATTGTTACAAATTCCTTCTTAAAAACAGTAATGGGAAGTAAACACAACAAAAGAAAAGAGGCTTTATGTACATGTCTTATTCTAGTTAAGAGAGGATGATAAAAAAGGCTTAACACAAATTGATTGACTAGCTATTAGCTATAAACAAATGTCAACAATCACCCCGAAGTTATGAAAAATTGTAACAATCTGTTATAAAATGTACGTAGAAAATAAAGCTATGCGATCTGTTAAGTTCATTATAAAAGGATTAACACAATAAATAATTACAAAAATTATATGAAAAATTTATTAACGATATTCTTTGAGAATATTGTGAAATATATCTGCTGTTTTCATCCAAGCAAGTATTCCTGAGGTGTGACTTGTGTGTATGGAAATTAGTTTTAGCTAAATATTTTGGATAAATGCAATGACATGATAATGCATATTTGCTTGTTTAATGAAGTGGCAGTGTAACTAAATGCAATTATATATTAAAAAAAAGAAAAATTTAAAACAAAAAAAGATCATGAAAATACTATTCCACTTTGAAAATGTGAGCATAAAAAAATATATATAATATATATATTTGAAAAGACAAGTTTCTAAGTGTGGATATGTCCGTTGGATCGTCTTACGAACAATTTTCAATTTTGGAGGTAGAAAGTCGCTTCTTTACAAAATAAAAAAGAAGTACACGTGTGTAAGTAGGGATAACAATTGAACCAGTCCCTAGCTGAAGAGGAGCTCGGTAGCACGTTCCAGGTCCCAGTCATACGAAGAGAGTGCTGTCACGGCCTTTGACGACTCTACGCCCATGTCTTTCAGCCTCTGCATCTTTTTCGTACATTCCTCATCTGCTGGAGGCCCTATACATAAGAAAAAAAATCGTTATCAACTAAATTGTTACAAAAGTCCACATACACAAATTTTTTTATTTCTTTGCACAATTCGATATCTGAGCCATAGCGCCTACTATTATGTTAACATTTGTTGGTTCAAATCCCAGCATTGCCCTTAGAATTTTATATAATTATATTTTAAAAAATAATAATAAAATAAAAAAATAAATTATAAGGTGATGTGACCAACACGCTACAGGCAGTTTGACTGGAATTACTTTTGAAGTTGTTGGGCTTGGTCTGAGAGTTTGTGAACTTTTGTTGAACTAGCTCTGGGTTACTTATTGGGTCCATCTATACTTGCGGGTTAATTGATTTACACAAACACATTTTGGCGTTGTATCATCTTCTATGAGAAACCGTCTGTCACCTTGTCCATGCAGGACATTATATATCAGACTTTTAGAAAAAATCTAGAATGGATTGTTTAATTTTTCTTACTTATATGCCTTCCACTATAAACTGTGCAATTTTCAAATATGTACATGTTTTATTGGCTTGGATTTTATTGGTACATGTCACAGGATGCCAAAACATGAACTTTTTTTAAAAATCTAAAAACATTCTTAAACATGTGATTTCACAGTTTCTGGTCAGGGTTTGATGAAAAACAAAACTGCAACTACTTGCCAAGCTTTCTACCTTTACAAGGTTCAAGCCATCCTCAGGGTCAGAGTAGAAGGCTAGGTTGGATACTGGGTAAATTATGTAGCCAAAATTCACTAATTTCGTGGTCCGCTTGACCAATTGAAAAATGGCAAAAAGGAGGGAAAATTCAAAGGGTGGGGTTGAGATGGGAAGTTAGTGTCCGAGAGGATCGAGGTCACAATAACTCAAGTGGTAGAGCAGCTAGCCGAAGATCGTGGATTCGAATCCTGCTCGTGCCATTGACTTTTTATCTCAACTAAAAACCTTAATTAATTATGTAGCCAATGTTGATTGATCATGGGTGACTTGGGATCTAGTTTTTGGTCAAGGTTTGATGGGGGGGGGAACTGTGCTTACATGCTTTTGAACTTTATAAGACCATCCTAAAGGTACTAAGGATTTTTAGACTTTGACTTTGAGCTTGATCCAGATGTCAAGGATAATGACTGAGCTTTACAATAAATCAAGTTTAAGTGGTGCCTGTATAGGCTCATGCACAGAAAATTGACAGCAATTGAAACAGGCAGTGTCTTGACAAAACTTACTTATATCCATGAGTTCCTGCTACCTGATGAGCCTTTACCTTTTAATTCAGCTTTATACCCCGGTGCAATACCAATTAGGCTATTGTAACGTAATCCCATGAGACAACACAGACAAATTTTAACATATTCAATGTGGGTAACTCCACCATGGAGTCAAGCCCCTCTCTCTGAGACATCAAAGTTTGTTTTTTCATTTTAATTCGTATTATGCTTCTGTAAGGCTGGAACAGTTCAGAAAAGACTTAGTGAGAGCATCATTCCCAAGTCTTTAACCTTAAACCGCTAGCTAGATAGCACTTCAAATGCTAACAACTTTCTTCTAAATAAGAATATGTTCTAAATTAAAAATAAGGTTTGTCTTTACATAAAACTGATAGTTTTTAATGCTTTAGTAAATAGAAAAAAATTACAAGTTGTTTTGAACAACTTCTACATGAAAGATTTTTGTTGACTTACCTATTTTGCGTCCAGTTTTGTTGGAAATCACCTTTGACAAGGTACTTAATTATAGCAGCAGTTAAATAAGTGAATTAAATTTTACCTCTATTTTCACGTAATGGATGATCCAGGTAAATATATTTTTAAAAATTCATCAACTGCTCTCAGTTTTTTGAAATTATAATTTATATTTTTATTTTCCTAGATTGTGTAATAATCATAATATTTTTTCCAGAAACACGTAAAGTTACTACTACAGGGATATGCATTCCAACATGTTTTTTTTTTGTTTAATTTCACAAGAACAAAATTTTTAAATCATTCAGGTAATAAAAAAAATGTTAATATTTATTATTTTTTTAATTGTAAATAGTTCCGTTGTTTTAATTTTTTTTTTAATTTTCATTTTATTTATATTCTTTTGTAAAAATTTTTTAATTTTAAAAAATTCAAATGAGTGAAAAAATTGGAAATATCATTTTACTATTGTAAATACGCTGTTTGTTTTTTTTAATAATAAAAAAAATCATTTTGTGGCCTTAAAATAGAACTGAAAATATTAGAGAAAATTGTTCTTATCTAAAACAATTTTTGTTCAGCATGGAAATATTCTTCACACAGTGGTGAAAAAAAAGTCGTCAAAATAAGTTTTTGAAATGGTTTAGAATATGAAAATTCCAAATAATTTGTGACTAACAGTCACACCAAGTTGAATCACACCAAGGGAAACTGGACTAAGTGCATTGAGTTGCGGGTTTGCATACTCAGATTCTCTGTGTACGGTTGACTCTAGTGTGGAGCCACAGTCTAACATCTTACAAAAATGCACTTATGAGTCATAAAGCATGATTTGCTATAAATGAGAATCTAAATATAATACTCTAAATGCAACCTATCAAGTTTTACTAAAAAAAATAAGTAAATAAATAAAAAATAATAATAATAATAAAAAATAATAATCCCTTAGATGGATGAAGGTCTCAAATTTTGATCCCGCATTTAAGGAAGAAGGAAAAAGTTAACTAATAAAAATAATTAGAAATTTAAAGATTCTAGGTGAAGATATGTAAAAAAATAATGTATTATATTGGAAGAAATAAATTTTGAGCATTTAATAATAATTTCTGATTAGAACTTTTATGCGTAAGGATTTTTTTAACTTTTTACAATAAGTTCACATACCTCCAGCGTATAATGAAGTCCAGTACCTAGCTGTGACCCTGAACATATCCTGGTTTTCTTTGTACTGCTTTGCGACTACCGCATCCTGAGGATCGTCTGGCTCGGGAGATGCCATCAACGCCTGCAGAGAGAGCAAAACGGTGCGTAATGTCATTGCAGCCGCCCTTGAACGTAAGAAATTTTAACGAAAAACTGTTCAAAATAGTTTAACAAAAAGGTCAAATAAATCAACAATTACCATTGGTCTTTTAATATGTCTAAACAAATAGCGCCCGTCACGGAGGAAATGTTGGGATGCCATATTTTCGTAACAAAACGCACCTTTGAAACATATGTAAAGTAATTTTGACACGAACTCAGATATTCTGAATCATTGTGCTCATACCTTAGGTGGGTTAAAAGGGTACGTTTCAGGAATTTTAATTTCTAACACAAATCTACCGCCTTCGTAAGGAGTGTCGGGTGGACCTCCGATCTCGCCTCGAAGCTCTGTGTACGAATCTCCCACCAGTTCCACTTTTATAGCGCATTTTGCTACCTAGAAATAGATTAAAAAATAAATTATTGAAGTCAAAGTAAAAAAATAACAATAATAATACACTTTTCTTTACACTAAAAGGTTACCATGTTAAACAATTTTTAACAAACAAAACAATTACAATTGGTTATTTATAAATAATATATTTGCATTAATTGTCATACTGTGTCACATTGCAGTTTTATTATCTGCAAGACTATTTTAAATCATTCATCAATGTAAAATAATGTAATAAAATAGTATTTTAAACAATAAAACTGTGTAAATATATCACAGGGTGCTAAAACACCCCAGGAAAAATAAATACAATTGATTAATTTACACAACTTCAAAATAAATTGCCTAAGAACAAAAACAAAAAGAAGACAACTATATATTTTACTTCAATTAATTAAGGTTTTAAGATAAAAAAAGTCAGTGTCACGAGCGGGATTTGAACCCACGACCTTCGGCTTGATACGCCGCTACTCTACCACTTGAAGCCGAAGGTCGTGGGTTCGAATCCCGCTCGTGACACTGACTTTTTTATCTTAACTTAAAACCTTAATTAATTGACTGATATTAATTAGTCAAGCGGACCATGAAAAATAGTGAATTTAATGTATATATTTTACTTTAATTTAAACAAAAAGTGAACTTTCGTGCAAAGTTGTCATCATCTGGCCAAGTTAAAATGAACACAGACCCCCCCCCAAACAAAACATTGAGATGAATAATTGGAAAAAGTGGGAAAATTAAACCTCCTTGTATAAATTTATACAAATAAAATTGACTTTGTACCTGCAATTTCCAAATGGAGCATCTAAACATATTTGGCTATTGGCACCATAACTGATTTTTAAATAAACAAATTAGTTGCAAGTAAAATGTATCATTATAATGTTGACTCATGCAATTTAAAATGCTAATAAAAAACAGGATTTTTCAGCATACTTTATGATTCAATTATCAAGCTGTGGCAGAAAAATTCTCATTATAATCAGGGCTTTGAACTCTTGCTATCAATTTGGCAAGGGCTCCAAGATGAAAAGAAAAAAAAAAAAAACCTAATAATAGAAGCACATTTAATTGGCCTGAGGGCAAGACTAGTACACGTTAATTTAAAAATGTTTGTATCCTGGGTCGATTATGCCAAATATGGATGTTTAAAAAAATAACTATGCGTTAAAATTTTTCTAGATTTCAATTAATTAATAATATCCTTGATTGAAAACAACCAAGAAAGACAAACAACTAGTTATCTTGAGCAACTAAATAAATGTATTGTGAGATAAGATTCTAAATGAGAGATGCTGTCAAAAAGATAAAAGACTTGCCTTGTATTTTTGTGTTCTCTTTAACCAGCTGGGAATAAATAACATATGGGAGATAAATTGAGAGTTGAGGATTTTTAATCTATCTTCATTACAAACAAGGAAGCAGTCTCAATATGAAAGATTTACATAATTATTTTAATTTTTTTTTATTAACGTAGGTTAGAAATTAAATCTAATTTAAATATATCTTATCGATATAAACTTCATTAGAAGAGATAATCGAGAACAAAGAAAAAAAATATAAGAGAAATTAATTTGGCTATTTGGAATGACAGAAAAATAAAGTTACTTGATTAACTATATTCACTAATAAAAAACTATATACAGTAAAAACAAAAATATAAATGGTGTATAGAAAAAAAGTCAATCATGATATAGCACTTCGTACATGATAGTTAATTGCTATCTGGAGGGCAGATCCCTAATTCCATATAGCTCTACTCCTCGGATTTGAACTGAAAATCTATTTAGGTGATTATTCAAAAGCAATTAAGGTCTTGTTAAATGTTGATTAAATTAGGCTCGGCACCCTGCATTGCTTCTTACAACAGCTCGGAATATGGCCGTGCTTCAATTCACACATAAACATGTGATTGGACATTGGAAGATTGGTGATGAGTTCTCTTTACTGATGAGGTGAGAGTTGACCTCAAACCTTCAGATGGGCATAATTTCATATGGAGCACCAGAGAGAAAGGTAAACCACATGCTGTCTGATTCTTCAGGTGGCATTCCATGGTGGATCATTTATGTCTGTGCATTTCCTTAGACACCCACACCGAATCGGTTGTTATACGAGAAAAATCTCTAATTTTACAGAGGTACTTACAAGACATATTCAAAGAACATGTAGTGCCATCCCCCCCCCCAACATTGGTAAGAGATTCTTGCTAATGCAGGATAATGCCAGGCTCCAAGACCACATATTATGGATGACTACCTGAGTGAGGTAGGAATTGAGTGCTTAGTGTAGCCAGCTCAAAGTCCAGATTCGAACACATTTGGGACCAACCTAGCGACGTACGATGGTGAAACCCAGGTCCTAACACCCTAGAAGAGTTGGAAATGACCGTTCTTGTTAAATGAGAAAGAATTTCTCAGAATTTTATCAGAAATCTTTTCCACGGAATGCATAGGCGTTTAACAGATGAAATTCGTGCTGGAGGTGGAAATACTCGGTATTAAAGGGACTGAATTTTTTTTCTTCTCCTCATCATGTTTGATTGTATTAATAATAATGTGATTTTGAGTAGGCACTTTTCAATGCAAATGTGTGGGTCGATGAACATGTACTTTGGTCTACCTTTTCGTACTGTTTTAGTCTGTCAAGATGGGTTTAAGCTTATGAGGTGAACAACTTCAGCCATCAATTAGACCTACTGAACAGCAAAGATTGGCAGACCAAAATAATCAGAAATCGAATTACACTTCATGCTGTAATTATAATAATAACCATGGGATTTTATGATAAGTATGTTATTTGAATTGATAATAGCGAGTGTGTGAGTAGGCAATTTTCAATGCAAACCTGTGGGTTGATGGACATTGTCTGATCAACTCCAACCTTTTAGCCTGCAATTTCTTACTGTTTTGGTCTTTCGAGACGGGTTTCATCTTCTTCACACGTTCGTCGATCAGTTTGTTTCTAATTAACCGCAAGGATAGGAAGAATGAAAATTATTGTCACCCAGTTCTCTGATTTTTTCCCTAACCGAATAGCAAGGATTGGCAGACCAAAATAATCAGAAACCGAACTACATTTCATGTTGTAGTTGAAGTAATAATCATCAAAGGTAGACTGTCAATAAAGCCTTTAGCTCAAACTGTTTATTAATTTATTCGGGAAGCCTTTCACTTACCTTGTAAGCATCTTCAGCCTTATCCTAATCTTAATACTTTACATCTAATGAATTGAATGAAATAATTACATTAATGAAAGAAAAACAACATAAACCAGCTAACATGACGATGTACTCTGTTTTTTGTCATTATCACAATACAGAGTGACTGGTGATACTTGTCTTAAATTTCAGGTGTTTCTACTCACCATATGCAACAAAAAACTTCCTATAAATCCCTGACCAAACCTCATCGGTAAAAAAGTAATTTCGGGGTCCCCCCCGCCAACAATTTTTTAAGCAATTTTTCAACTTAGGTCCTAAATACTACTAAATTGCTTATAAACTTCAAAATTACTGATTAGAAAAATCTGGTTTGTGCCACCTGAAAGAACGTTATTTACTGTAAGAAAACTTATTTACATTGCAGAATTGATGAAAAAATTCTGCATTAAAAATTCAGAAAAAACAAAACTGTTGAAATTTGGAATTTTTTGAAAATGTTGGATTAGTAACTGTTATTAACTACAAGCTCTTGGAGCTTTTGCAAATTCCCTCAAAAGTTCCCCATTCAATTAGCTTCCAGCAGTATATCCACCTTATTGTAATGCGCTTTTGGAAGGCCCAAAAATTTTGCATTTTGTTGAAAAAAACTGGTGTCAATGAAGGGGGGACACATTTTTCCAGGAAATCTGTCTGGCTCTTGAGTTTCGTGGCAGTTCTTTATTGTTCGATTCAATCAGTTTGCTTTACGTTATCAGCTGACAACGTTCTCAGGTTGGTGATTTAAATTATATTTTTGTTTCCTAATGAACATCTTGTTGATAGCATTTCATTTACGATTACTGCAATAGTAATGCAACTGCTGCAAAGAGAGAATAGCAAGCTTGTTTTTTCGCATCGAGATGTTCCAGCAGATCGCACCTTCCAACGATTTCATCAGAGGCTGAGGGAAACTGGGTCTTTCACTTGAAATATGATGAAATAATAATCGTGAGATTTCCTACTTGGATCTGCAGAGTGATGAATCTGTAATTTGATTATTACCATCTTTTCTGGTTCTCACTGAGTTTGCCATCATCTTCAGTCTGAAATGCCTGACCAACTGACCCAATGAGAACAGACAGACCAACATAAGGATCAAATTATGGAAATAATGTGTGGTGTTTATTGACCGTAGTCGATTTAGTTTAGTTAACGATTATTTGGAGATCGTGAGATGTGGTCTGGTATGATATAGGTTTTAGAAAAACATTTTCTTTATTGTGCCAATGTTTTGATGTATATTGAGATCATCTTCAGGACCTGGGATTTATAAACATTTATACAATGCTAGAAATTCACTTTTTTCATCCTACTTGTATTTGTATAATTTAAACAATGTTTATAAATCCCAGACCCTGAAGATGATCTCAATAAAGATCGAAATGTTGGCACGATAAAGAAAATATTTTTCTAAAACCTATGTCACACCAGACTGCATCTCATGATCTCCAAATAATACGGAAATAATAATCATCAGAAATAAAACCATATTATAACATAAAATTTCATCATGATACGAAGGAATGAACGACTGCAATGAACAAAAAATTAGATTAGAATTGATAAGAGGTATGCTGTGTTAGGGGCAAATTTAACGTGAGTTTGTGGTACATTTTTGTTCTACATGCACATGATGAATTGGCAAAAAAATTCGGCAAGATATTTATTCTAGTCTGAAAATTTCAGTATTTGATAAATCTAGGGTTCATGGAAGTGAAACAGATAAGATATTTCTTTTCAAAGGTAACGCGGATTTTATCACCCTTTATTTTTTTTTTCGTTGCGATCAAGGAGAGAAAAATGGATTGACCTTTTTCTCTACGATTCTCAGATAAAATCGAAAAATTGACGCAGTTCAGTTCCGTCGTAACGATAGATAAAACCCAACGGATGGAAAAAAATGGGGAGATATTGCGAAAATAAGAGATTATAAAAGTAATGATGGAAAAGAGCCCGAAGCAATGACTGACCCCCTGGGTAAGTTAAACTTCTTTTTTTTTAGGCGAATAAAAAAAGGGTAGATTTTTTTGTTTTATGGTAAAATTTTGTAAAAAAACTCACCTCTTCGCTTCGAATCACCTCTTTGAATTCCCTTTTGATCCTTTGGGCAGCTATGTTGGCCATTTCTCAAACGCTTCCCACTTGGTTTATACTTTTCTAATCGGGACCCTGGACCCCTTTACTGCTTACTGGCGAAGGCACTCATGTTTTTTTTTTGAAATTTTTTTTCGGGTGGTTCTTTTATGTCTTTATGTCAATTTTTCTTTGTTTTGAATATTTTTCCTTTTTCCCCTATGGACTGAGAGAAGAGACGTTACGCTACGCGGAGGTTAACCTTTTTATCCAAGACCTTTATGATAACACACTTCCCTCAAAATTTTCAACTCGGGTCCTGTTTTTTTTTTGTAAATAAGAAGATATTAAAAACCCCTGTTTTTTTGATCAGACTCGACTTAGAATTCGAACGAAAAAAATGTGTTCCTATTTCATTTAAAAACGAATAATGTTTTCAAAAATAAATTATTAACGGAAAAGAAAAAAAAACAGCAGTAACGCGGCCCCCTCAGGTTTTATTTTTCTCAGGGAATTTTTTTCAGCTGATTTTTTGCCAAGATTTTCACACGGGAAAATCGGATCGCGTCTCGAAGAAAAAGGGTCGGAAAAAAGTAAAATAGTAACAAAATGGGGCCAATTTGGTTTTTGCATGAGGTTTAGTGATAAGACGCGATAGATCGATTATCGACAGAACCTGGGTAAATTCGCACTAGATTATCGATATATTAACATAATCGATTGTTTCATCGAGACATGTTTTTCTTTAAATATTTAATAAATTTAAAAGTTTTAATATATAATAATAAGTTTTATGTTTCTAAACCCGTTTTGGGTGATGAAATTTTTTTAAAAGGTTTTTTGGTGATGAAGTAAAAATTCTTCTATTATGATCGATGTGTCATTGTTATCAAAATAAATAATAAACATTTAAGGGGACAGGGTGAGTAATTAATTTAAATAAATTTACCTTTTTCGATTTAATTATTAATTTAAATAGTTTTAATGATTAAAAATATAAATGTGAGTACGTCGGTATCGATTGGTCAGTTTTTGGGACGGATCGATACGGGCAGAGGTCCGGTGGGTTGATCGTAGCGCTTCCCGTTGCGAATCGGACAACGGGTATCGTCCCGGCCGGAAGGAGGATGGGATTCTGTGTGGGTTTTCAGTGATGCCCGTCTTATCAGAGTCAGTACGTGCCAAGAGTCTGTTGAGGTCGAAATTGGAAAAGTCGAATCTCCCATTCATCAAGAGCAGGATGCCGAACATAAAGGTTTTCAGCGGGACGAGCCACCCGGAGCTGGCCCAGAGGATCGTCGACAGGCTTGGCATCGACCTGGGGAAGGTTGTCACGAAAAAGTTCTCCAATTTGGAAACATGGTGAGCAGACCTTGTAAAAACCATTCAGTCTAATTTTTTTTTTTTTTAATTAATAACAATCCGGTTTTTCAACTTTTTTAACCCCTCAAATCTTCACTTTTCCAGTCTCTTAAACACTTTTGTATTTCAAACTTTAAAAAAATCATCAGCAATGCCAATAGAAATTGAAACTTAAGGTTAAAACATGCATTGTTTATACTGTATAATTAAATTAGTTTCTACGTGTCTTCTGATTCTAGAAACATTGTTGAACATGAACATTTTTCACTTGCGACACATTATAGAACCTCTCCAGCAATCAGTTTTATTCAACAATTTATAACACTTTGTCACTTTAAGTTTGTGGGTTCGACAATTTTCTCATTTAACAGACAAATGGTTAACCGATCGTATAATTTGTCCCTATGTATGCAGCATTTATAGTTTTTAATGGTCAGTTATTGTAATAGATGCTTCGTGGTACACTTACAAACTTCACGTCGACTTAACGTCGAACGAGAACAATTTGCCCCTTCAAATTTGTAGTTGGTCTCGACCATTTTTCTTTATGCTTACATACAGCATTTATAATTGACTAGTCAATCCTGAAACATATTCTGAATATAAAATGGTCAGTCAGCCAATCATAGTTTGGCATTTTATCTACATGCAGTACATGCATCATTCGTTGTAAATGACCAATCAGCCATTATAAAAAAAACTCATTTTACACTTAAACTATAATTTTTTCCTTTTAATTATCTTGGTCGTTGGTTTTGCGTACTTAACGTCGAACAAGAACAATTTGTCCCTTTAAATTTTTGGTTGGTCTCGACCATTTTCCAAATGGCCATCAATTATACAATTCGTTCTTATGTATGCATACAGCATTTATAATTGACTAGCCAATACTGAAACACATTCAGAATGTACATGTAGACAAATGGTCATCCATTCATCATACAGTTCAGCCTTTCGTATACATGCAGCAATATACCAGTCTGCCATTATAAAAAATTACTCATTGTATACTTGAACTGAATTTATTTGCTCTTTAATTAGCATTCGTCGTTGGTTCTGCGTACTTTTCTCATTATTTTCTAGACGTACTATTCTGGATTTATATCGACTTACCGCCGAACATTAACAGAATAACATTTTTTAATTACATTACATTTCTCCATGTAAATTTTCAGTTGGTCTCGGCCATTTTCGGATTATACAGACAAATGGTCAACCAATCACAAAATTTATCCTTATGTATGCATGAAGCATAATTTGTAAATGCCAGTCATTCATTGTGAAACATACTTCGTCCTTCACTTATACTTTGCTTCACTTATTTATTTGCTTAATTAGCACTTAACCATTTTATCGCCCACGGTTTAACGTCGAACATGAACAGAATAGATTTCATTTTCTGTACATTACATGTTATAAAAACAAAAGGAAATTTGCTTTTAATTATCATTTGTACACACTTGGTACGTGTCTTCTCATTCTACTGTGAAACGCTATGTATCTTGATTGACATTGTTCGAACTTAACATGAAAACGTTTCTTTTTCACTCGCTTTATACATATTGACATGCGATTACGGCTATTAATATAATAGTTTATCCTTATGTATATGTACAATTCATACTTAGTAACTGCCTGTCATTCATGAAACATAACTTCATTGTACGCTTTAACCGTCCTTATTTACGTTTAATTAGAATTCATCGATGCTTCTGTGTACTTTTCTCATTCTTTTCGAGATGTACGATTCTGGATTTACATCTGCATTAATGGAAAATTAATCAATATTTGTTTAGTGGTCATAATTGACTGTATTAATTATTCTTTTGATCTAAGGTTTTTGGTTGAGATGGAAAGCCGAAGGTCGTGGGTTCGAATCCTGCTCGTGGCACTAATTTTTCATCTCAACCAGAAACCTTACATAAAAATTATTTGGAGATCGTGAGATACGGTCTGGTGTGACGAAGGTTTTAGAAAAACATTTTCTTTGTCGTGCCAACGTTTCGATCTTTTCAATTAATTAAGGTTTTTTGTTGAGATGAAAAAAGGTCGAGGTCACGATAGCTCAGGTGGTAGAGCAGCGGCGTATCTAGCCGAAGGTCGTGGGTTCGAATCCCTCTCGTGCCATTAACTTTTTTTCATCTCAACAAAAAACTTAATTAATTGTAAAGTATTAATTGGTCAAGCGGACCACGAAATTAGTGAATGAAGTTTCGATCTTTATTGAGATCATCTTCAGGGCCGGGGATTTATAAACATAGTTTAAATTATACAAATACATGTAGGATGTGAAAAAAGTGAATTTATACAATGCTAGAAATTTAAAAACATAACAACTTACAGAAAAAGAATAATTTTAGTTGGAATAATTAACGGTTATTTTTAATTTTATATACTTTACATGCTAAAAATGATAATAAAATAAAAGGAAATGAATACCAAATTGTACACTTGCTGGGTTTAAATGAGCATTTCTTCATATTCTTACGTGTCAATCTTCAAGTGACATGTTACGAATTTACACTTTACATAATACATGATTTATATAATTGATGGTGTATATTTTTTTATTTTTATGTGTGCTGAGCTCCTTTCATCCTGTTGAATTGTTCGCTTACTATTTTCTGGCCAACAATTAAAATGCATATACTATGATATAATTTTTTATTTATCTTTTATTAGCTTATTTTGATTCTTTTTTTTACATGCAGCATTTATCGATGTTTGTATGTATTTTTACCATTCTTTTCGAGACGTAAGATTTTTGATTTACACCGACCTACCGTCGAATCGTGAATATTTTCGATCTTTTTATTCTTCTTGCAACATTTTATGAATTTTAATTAACTTCGTTAAACATGAACTTTTCACTTGCTTTATATTGACAGCGATTAATTTTTATCTCTCCAGCAATCCATTTTATTCAAAAATTTATAACGATTAGTTTGTCCCTGTTAAATTTGCGGGATCGACAATTTTCTCATTGAATAGACAAATGGTTAACCGATCACACAATTTGTCATTTTGTACACATTTGTTTATTGCAGCGTTGTTCAATAATTCTATTTTATCCTTCTTGTGTTTTGAAACACTGTTTACTTTAGTCATTACTGTTTACACACAAATGAAAATGGATTAGTTATGGTCCCTTCGAGATCTCGCATTTTTATTAGTTCTTTTACTTATTTAAAATGTAGAATAATAGTGCATTTTGCATTCATTTATTTGTTGTTGTTGTTTTTTTTTCTTGGAAAGGAAAAACCGCAGCTCATACTGCTGGGAAAATTTTGAATGTGTACCGTGATGGCTCACAGAATTTTGAAGACGCAAAGCGCTCTGGTCGTCCTACAACAATCGGTGATGATCAAATTAAGCTTTGTCACAAGCCTTAATCAACGACTCGAGACAACTCATAGAGACTTAACATATATCATACAAGAGTTTCATCGAATCTGAGATCTGTCGATATATTCTATTTCTCATTTTTTTAAAAAATAATCTTGATTAACTTTGTTGAACTTGGACTTTTCACTTGCTTTATATTGTCTGATGATTTTTTCATCATGAATCATCATCTATCTTTGTCCGTTACGCGTTGAATTGAATTGAAGGGCCACATTCCCAATGATATCTCAAAACAGAGTTTAATAATTATTCAGAAATCGTGAGTTGCGGTCTGGTGTGATGTAGGTTTTAGAAAAACGTTTTCTTTATCGGACACTCTCAACACGACACGCAAGAATGGCACAATTACACAGAAGACAAACACTTTGAGCCCTGAAGATGATCTCAATAAAGATCGAAACGTTGGCACGATAAAGAAAATGTTTTTCTGAAACCTACATCACACCAGACCGCATCTCACGATTTCTGAATAATTATTGATTAACGGTTACTAACCACCACACAGAGTTTAATCAAAGTTGGCCGATAACGGAATAACTTCCTAAGGCTAAGTTCTGCACAACCTGCAGCCTGACGGCTTAAGTGCTGCATGTGATACTCCAGGACCACCGCCTTGTACAGAGGTGGCATATTGTATACATTTTAACTAGCATTTATCGATGTTTCTACATACTTTCCCCATTATTTTCGAGACACACAATTCTGGATTTACATCGACTTATCGTCAAACACAAATGGACTATTCATTTTGTGTACATTACATGGTATAAAACCAAAAGGAAATTGATAGCCTATCGTTGTAAACTTACTTTCTTTTAATTAGTATTTATCCGTGTACCGACGTTCTTGTTTCTTAAATTGCCATCGTGCTCTTGTGCCCAGACAAAGGTGATTTTGTTGTTTTTCCAAAAGTCTGACAGAGCCTTGATGCAAGCCTAAACAGCTTCAGATTGACTAATGAGTCGGTAGTTGCCTTATGGCTAAGGTCAAGTGCCTCTCGTAGCGCCTAGTTACCCGATGACTCGCCTGGTACCTAGTGCCTAGATGCTTTAGTGGCATCAAAGTCTGTCGCCTTAATTGTGTTGATTGTTCACATTGTTGAAACGTCTTTCACCAAATTGGCTAGATAATTGTTTTTGCCTGAAAGTATGTATATCTTTGAAATATGAACTCTTGCGCCAGGTCCTTTCATGCTGGGTGCATCGGATTATTGAGAGAACAGAGAAAATGGTGAATTTCCTTTGCTACATCTTCCCAAATTTTCTTAAGGACCATTTATTTAAGAAAGTACGTAAGAAAGTAAGTTACAACTGCAGCTATTAAGTGTCTTCCATGATGAAATTTTAAAAATAACTAGGAAAAACAGACTCGACCATTCCTCTACAGCGACACCAAGCAACCCACGTGGTCGGTCTCAAATGTTCTAGATGATTGTTCACAAGGATGTATCACCAGAGGTTTTCAGAGTTCTAGGCGATCATCCAGGTTATTACTGAGTACATCTGGATTTTGCTGGTGGTTTAAGACCTGGCTGTAAAGCTAAATATGCATGTATCATCACCATATGCTATACCGATGGCCTAAATAATAAACTG